AGATAAACTCCCTGCACTGCAGAGCTCCTGCAGCTGGCTTTCCAGTAACATCCAGAAAAGCTGTACATATACACAGGGAGGTTTTAAAGTCACAGGTCACAGTTTAATTTACTTATACGTTGTACGACCACCTTCCAATTGGAAAAACTTGATCAAGTATGGCGGCTTTCAAGATGGCAGCCATGATCTGTAAATAGCCTAAAGACAGACTCCCATCAATCATTACATGGTGGAGATTTCAGATATGTTATTTTCCTTTTTATTTCTGAAACAAAATGTTGTCCTCTGACTTATAAATCACTTTGTATGTATAACTTTTTGTGTTTTGGTATTTTTTCCACTATTTTTTCCAGTATTTCATTTAACTTTTTTGCCATTATGAGATGACTGACATAGATGTCAGGCCGACCAGGAAATTACTCAGATTGTGTGAAATCATAAATCAGAAACCAGCCGCCAGCTCCTGACTAATTTTAGCTGTTAAAGCAGTTTGATCTGTCACAGCTACTGAGGGAGGTAATATGAAATACTGTGAAAATGTGAGCATCTTTGGTATCAAAAGAAAGTATCTGTCTCCTTGGGTCTGAAATTTTCAACTCACCGGCAGTTTTAAAGTAGGCTGAGCTCAACATGCACGTTTCTGGCATTGTTTTTTCCTCCTGAGGTGACTGGAGCGTGTCCCGTCCTGGATAAAGCACCAAAAACAAAAGTCACCAGCCTCAGAATATGTGTATATTCATCCATGGCTGATTTCTGAAAGCAGATCAAATTTAGACGTTTGTAGAAACAGAAAAGCTGTGACAATAAACACTTTTTTGAGTAGAATTATGCTGAAAAATACAATACACTCTTGTGATTTTGCACAAATCAAATTTTATGATGTGAATGAAATTGTTCCTTTACGTTTTCCAGGACAATGTTCCTGAGATGTCCTCATTACTGCCGTCAAAAGGAGCACTCGGTACTCAGATGTCCTTTATATGCTGTCTGTGTGACATTCAATTCAAACGTAACCATTGAGTTGGTCATGTGTGGAAATCTTTTCACAGTCTTCAATGAGTCCAGAAAGTGGAAAATGTAACTTTTGAGTCTCTGAGCAGAAGCCAAGGTAATCTAGCTGTAAAGAGAAAATTCTATACGCCCACACAGAATAATAATGATCTTTTTGCCACAGCAGAAGTTAATTTCCCAGTTAATGTGTTTGCAATTAGTGCGTCTAATTAAAACAGTTATGAAGAGACAGTGCGAGCTGCCGCAGGGACGGTGATGAGATTATTGTTATACCCCAAATACCTTTTCCTCTGTTTTCTCTTCAGTATTTGCTGTGTTTTCCGGTTACTATTGTTGCCAGGGGAGAGAACACAACAAACAAGACGATGAAACGTTTTTGAGTGCTGCTTTCCCAAAATCCCCTGAACTGACCTCACAGTGGAGTCTTCAGTGATGGTTATTCAACAGGATGTGATAACAAAAAAATTCACTCTCATTCAGGGTCAGACTTTAAACTTCAGAATCAAAATGGTTATTTTATTAATTGGGGTTATACTGTTTATCATCATGTCTTCAAATGTGAATATCACATTTAATGGTGGAAAAAAAACTGTTCTTTCTAACTCGAAAGGGTTATTGGCAAAAACTAATCAGTTCAATATCACTCAAGTATACATGCCTGCATAGGGAAATGCAGTGATGGTTAAATGCTTAAACTTTAGTTGAAGTTGAATTAAACTGCTTTTTTTTATTGCTATAGAACATATCACAACGTCTTATCAGATTTCATCTTTTTTAAAATTATTTTCACCCGATTTCTCATGGTCAATCTTCAAAGCTGTGACATGATTATCTAATCAGCTGGATGGAAAACATGTTCAGTCAGATGCAAGGTGATACCTCATCTCTGTTTAGAGTTATTTGCACCGGTATCCAGCACCACATGTCCACCGAGTGATTTAACTCAGGAGAAGTTTAGTATTTATTAGTTGTTCATCGATATGTGTCACAGTCATGCTGTGAACTCTGTCAGTGACCACTTTAAAGATATAAATTGCTATCAAGATAGATAAATATGAGCCCTCCACATGAGCTGGGCACATTTACTTGCCATCATGGTGAAGAAAGAAGATCATCAAAATGTATAAAAAGGATTGCATGTGTTTAATACACAGTGGTCCTCATGTGATAAATGTACGTAGACAAAAACCAAGATCAAAATACATTTTTCATACCTACTTATTACCAAATTAGCCAAGCCACATTGACTCATACAGCCATGCGTACACACACACACTCACTCCAGAATGGAGCCTGTTTTTTTTAAGTTGGAAGAAGCTGGAGTACCTGCACACACAGTGAGAACATTCCAACTCCATGAACATGCAAACGAGCCGAGCTGGAACATCACGAACAAAAGTAGAAGTACTTAAAATAAACAAGGCAGGAAGCAACCCAGGTGACACTGACATCACAGAGGTAACACCGAGGGCAAGGATCAGGCCAGGACCAAGACGACCAGATGAAATAAAGACCGAAGCGAACTAACGAGGAAGTGGCTGCAGCTGTGGCTGATTAAGCAGGTATCAGGTGTGAAAAGGAGCTGAAAAACCAAACAGGGGAAACTGAGGATTGTAAGAACAGGACCGAACGCAGCGATAGAGCACAAAAACTAAGAACGACAAACCAAACGACTGCATGATTAGACCACAAGAAGACCGAAAACAACAGATCAGGTCTCCTTTAATGACCTACAAACCTCAAACTCTTGAATTTGGCGTCTTTGTTAAGTGAAAACATTCCACTATTATTTGGATTGTGTATTTCACAGTGGAGGCTTCCATGACATTGAGCAGGTGATTAGCAAAAGCTGATCCAATATTTTCACTTGAGATTAATTTATTTCCTCGAGTCTTAAACTGATCTGATAGTGACAAACAAAGCAGGTCATTAGGGATTTAGTTAACTCTGCAGCCATCTACCAGCCTATATTTTGCTCTCTCAAACAGAAAAATCCAAGTTTATTCCCTCACTTTTGTGTGTTGTAATGAGTGTTTTTGTTCCATGTAAAGTAAAGTTTTTTATTTCCATTTTAAGGCTTTATAATTTATAACTCAGCACATGCTTTTTGACATATAAAATAATCTGAAATTCAATATGGGCACTTGCTCGCCCCCATCTATCAGCCAATAGTGTTAAAATCATTTAACATATATTTGATTTATTATTTCTTTTATCGTTTTCAGTTTTTTTAGGTTAGAAAATGTTTTTTATCTCATAAATAATTCAAATAACTTTATAGCAATACCTTTATAACAGAAGAGAGCGAGACTGCAAAAAGTGAGTGAAAAAAGTGGCTAGAGACCAATGTGTTCCTTTTTAGTTGTCGAGCTGAGTTAAAATTTAATGACAAGAATTTGCAGGGAGCAGAGTGTTACACCAGTTTAACACGTTCTAATGGTTTTTATTCTTTTCAGAATTACGGTGTAATTAGAGGATGAGCTTGGACAAAGCGGCAGTGAAAACAAACTTTATATCTCCTCTAAGAATATCATCAAGAAAAAAAGATACCAGGCATTTAATGGCATCATAAATCAGCAACATTTATTTCCACTTTTTATACATTAAACGTGCATCTCAGTAAAACTAAAATATATCATATAAATACCTCTACTGTTGTACAGTTACAATAAATAGGGCTATACACACTCTAAGGGAAAATAAAAAACAACTTCAGTATCAACCGCTGCATGACATAAGAGGACATTCTCATTAAATACTTCACATGTTTTCCCTTTTAACAGCTTTTTCAGGCCAAACGAATGGGCCTGGTCGGTGGTTGTGCTGATACAAATACTGTCCCATCTTATGTGAAACGTGTCCCTTTGTGCTGTGCTTTTTAAAAAAAAATGCTCACAGTGTCGGCATGACAGACGTAAACGGGCACACTGTTCAGGTCTGTATACTGACTCCTTTCCTTTTCGCCGTGAACAACCCTGTAACCCTCTGTGGCGTGGAGGCAATAGCCACGCCTCCCAGTAATTTGTGCAGCAGAGACGAGGCAAACACACTCACCACATACTCACACACGTATGCAAAATCTATAAATGCGCTAAAAGAACCTGCCACAATTAGTAGTGGGCGTTTCGCTCCCGGCTGACCTCTGTTGTTTAAAAAAATACGTGACTAAATAACTACAAGAAAAAAAAGGCATTTTAGGAAAACTTGGCTATCTCAAGCTGATTGAGAAGGCTTTGTGGGAAAGGGCAGTGAAGAGTGTATGATACAGCCGTTACTCACATGTACAGGAACACGTCAACACTTGAACAGCCATGTCAAAAGATCACATACAGCACTTTAAAATAGATCACCAAGGAACTGTAAATCTGAGATCATGCAAAAATAAATACACCACGTCTTCCACTAAACTCCCACGCACGACGTTCATCTTGTACATGATATACAATGAATAATTAATGTATCAAATACCAAGTATCACACAAAACATTTTAACTTTTACCTGGATCTTTCATCTTACTATACCTAATATACAATCGGTTCCAAAACACCACCTTTAAAGCCACACCAAAATACAAAAAGGTGTCAGTGCTTCCTTGTGCTTTCTGAACACCAAAAAAAAACCTAAATAATTGTTTGCGCTGAGAAAAGAAATGATGCCAGGAGCTGTAAGTTTCAAGTGAAAGTGGGCGTCTTAACAGTTTATGCTTATGATAATGATTAGATAAATGTCCTGTGAGACACAGTATTTCAAAAATGGAATATAAAGCTGCGAAAAGTTCAGTTTCATTGGCTAAAGCTAACTTTCACAGCATGTTGAGTTTCTCAAAGTCCTTAGGTTGACAGTCAGTCAGATATTGTGCTGTATAAGTAATAACGAATGATACAAATAGCTAGAAACTTTTGTGAAAATAGACAAAAACTGGACGGGAACATGTTCATTAGACTGTAAAAACAAGAAGAGGGGTGGTTTCTGTGCTCGTCCCTCGGCCTCAGAAGCCAGGCACATGGCAGTACGCCTCTAAGGAGGACAGCAGGATGTAGACGAACCAGAGGGAGAGGAACATGAAGAAGGTGACCAGCTTGGCTGTCCGTGGGCCTCCCAGCTCTCCGCCGGACACGCCGGGCCGCCGGCGGTAGAGCAGCACCAGCACGCACACCAGCGCCATGACGGTGAAGAGGGTGACCGAGAAGGCCAGCGAGCCCGGGTTCACCCTGAACTTCTCGCCTTTGGTGTGCCAGTAAACCGCCGCAATGGTCCACGCCACCCCGATCCCCAGGAACACGTTCACCGCGTTGCTGCCCGTCACGTTTCCGATGGAGGCGTCGGCGTACTGATCCTGGATGGCCGCCACCTTGCTCGCAAACGTGTCTGTAACGGACAAGAGGGAAGAAGAGTGGGTTGGGATTTCCGCTAAATCAGCTCTTGTGGGAGATAAGTGGCGTGAACACACTTAACTTGAGGACAGTTTTCTTATCGGCGGCACAGATTTGTGGAAAATTGTCCGACCGGTGTTCAGCCCGGCTGGAATCTGAAAACTGTGTGTGTGTGTGTGTGTGTGAAGGCCGCAGCACATACTTCCCATCGCTTTCACATTAATCAAAGCATGTGGTGAAGCTGTAGGACAATCAATAGCTGCGCCGTCATCTCAGAGAAGAAGACCCCCATTAGGAAAGAGATGTTTCATCTTTGGACAGCTGTGATTACCCAGAACCACTTTGTATTGATTTCCTACCACCCTTTCCTCTAGTATGACCTAAACCGTGCCGGCACCATCTCCCAGGATGGAATGTGAGTGTGGGGTCAACGATTGAACTTTTCCTTTTGTCACCTGTCTGTAGTCCTGATTTAGTGAGACAAATGCTACTAATAGAAGTCCTCATGCAAACATTAACTCTGTCAAATCCTGTTCAACATTTTTTATTACGTTCTAACCAGTGTCCTGTCGCTTTAGCTCGGATGCTGTCAGGTTAAAACGGTGCCTGCTATATTGCTGGCTCAGGAGGATTACTTGTCGAGTGCCATGTTACTCATAATCATGGATGAGTAAATGTTGATTCTGCTAAGCAATATCTCAGTACGGCCCTTTTATTGGCCCGGGAAAGGCTTTGACTCGGTACATAGATATATAGAAAATAGAGGGAGCAATCCATCCATCCATCCATCCATCCATCCATCCATCCATCCATCATCCATCCATCCATCCATCCATCCATCCATCCATCCATCCATCCATCCATCCATCCATCCATCCATCCATCCATCCCTCCATCGATCCATCCCTCCATCCATCCAATGTTTTATATGATATTTAAATACAATGTTGTGTTATAAATATTGAAATATGAATCAATAATAATAAATAATTGGCCAAGATTGTCAGGGAAATTTCCCAGCACTTAATTTATGCAATTCTGAGCTGATCTGCATGCTTTAAAGGGCGTGTGTGGGTATAAGATCAGACCCCTCAAACCTAATTTATGTACTCCCTTTGTGTGCCTGTGTGACTGTGTTTAAGGCACGGCGAAAAGGGAATACAAGCTGACAGTAACAAGTGAAACAGTGATCTTCTTTGTTTACAGCTTGTTAATGTGCAAGACAAGCGCTTTGGAGATAATTCCTCCGACAGCGCAGGGTGAGGAAGAGGTGACAGAAGCCCCACCAAGCAGCTGCTTCTGCTGCTCAGCAAAGCCCAGGGGGAGGAAAGAGCAGGTATGAGTTTTAAGAGGATTTAAAGCACAAACACCCACCTGGAACCGAGGTGCCGAGGGCAACAAACACCACAGCAGTGACCGAGTCTTTGAGGCCGACGGTGCAGCCGAAATGAGAGGCCAGGTCCCCGGTCACCGCCGTCAGAGCGCCGATGAGGGAAATGGAGACGAAGAAGCAGGCCCAGCCGTTCCAGTACTCAGTCGGTGGGACGAAGGCGAAGAGGACTTTCCAGAAAACGGTGAGGAAGTGCATGATGTAATCAAAGCAGGACGGCAGTCTTTCTTCCCCGCTCTCCTCCTCATCATCGTCACCTGGTAAAGACATGAACACATCCTAATGAAGGCCCTCCGCGAGGGAAAATTTGACTCCAAAAATAACTGATCCACTTTTGACATGTTATGCACGTCCTCAAATTGAATGTGATTGACCCTTGATTCATAAGCAGGTAAGCTACATCAAACCCTGCACTTTTTCCCGCCTCTGCTGAGGTTAAGTGAAAAATCATAGCTAAGCCACATGGGACATGACAGATGTGTTTCCAATACAGTCAGAAGAGGTCAGAAGTATAGTGGTTGATACAGTTAAATCAAATCACTGCATACGGACTGAATCCATACATCTGCTTAGTGTCACACCCTTTAAAGAACAGTACATACCCCCCTCCCCCATTTTACATGCATCACTTAGCCAGTCTATAACATTATAATTTCATAACATGTTTACCATGATGCTTTTTTCTAATATTAGTGAGTATATTAAGTTTATTACACCGAATTATCTGAATTATTTAAAAACATATTTTTTAAAAGACTGTGTCCCATCTGTCTTTAAGGTAGACCTGGTGTATTGTTTTTAAATTGTGCCCTCTCTTTGAGTCTCATAGAGGATAAAGGATTATGTAAAACAGTGAGTGTGAATGTTTGAGTCAAAACAGCGAAGATGCCATAATAGCTAAAAGACACTGAAAAGTATAAAGGAGAAGAAACATTACACCAAATGATCTTTTTCCAGAAGAACTGAACGAACTGCTGTGTAAAGTACATCTAGTTCACACAGTTAGGTTGAACCGATTTTCTCAGTGGCCAGTAACAATGTTCTTACTTGGTGTTGGACGGATCCCAAACAGCGAACCTTTTCAAAACATTACATCATTAATTCATTTTTTTTGTTTTTTAGCAAAATGACTTATCTCTGCTGACTAGCTCAGGCATCAATGCAGGTCTAAAATGTTCTGAGAGCCAATTAAATGGATTTTGAAAAGATAAAATGAAAGGGGTGATAATCTGCATAGCCATTAATTGTTCAGCCAGTTTAGCTTTTATGATGAGCCTCATAAGAAATTCACCACACAACATGAAATTTTAATCAACTGTCAGGATGGAGCAGATGCCGAAAAAAGACTCGAAATTGCCAAAATGTATTAAAATCAACCTTTTAGAAAGCCCAATAGTCCATTATCTGATACATTAAAAGGAAAAAAAATGTGACCGAGCCAGTTTGAAACGGAAACATATGGAGTTTAATGAGGTTGTTTCTAAAGAACGAGTCACAACAGGCGGCAGGTGGGCCAGATCCAAACAGCATGCTTTAATCCTCTGTAGCTCTGGTCTAAAGGGGATGAACAGATGAGACATTTCGGGATGCTGCAACTCACCTGCACTGACCGTAACGGCACTAACAAACTGCTCCCTCCAGCTGCTGCTGCCCACCACCAGGGCCAGGTTGGTCTTCTTGATCAGTTTGTCCACTGTGCTCTGGAGATGGCCACAAAAAAAAGGCAGATGGGAGGTACATTTACAGATATGAGATAGAGAGCATTGGTATAATTTTGGTGTATGATACTGGGGATGCTGATGTGGCGACTTAAGATGCATTAAACTGCATTTTCCTCCCGGAGGGAGAACAAACCCCACCATCCCTCATGTCTAAGCTGCCTCACACCAGTGCAGGGAAGGAGACAGCACACGGTGCTGGAGCTCCAAGTCTCAGAGCAATATCATGTTGCGGCTTAAAGGCTCTTAAATTGCCTTAAAGGGGCACACACTCACTTTACATCAGGGGATCGGTTTATCCCTGAAGAGGACTTGAATATAAACCTGTGAAAACTGTTGGAAATGATGTACCGTGGCAGCAATAGAAGGAAAACAAAGTCGGTGTCATAGCGATGTAATCTCAGTTGGGATCAGGAGACTGCACGGCACACCAGCCCAAAATAAACAAGCTCATGTTGAATTAATGGGAAATATAGTTTGACGTCTGGATGTCTCTGCATTTACTGCGTTGGTTTTTGCAGAATGAGGCAGCGGCTGTAGTTCAGGGGAAAGAACAGTCACTTGCTCATAGAAAATTCCAAGCTGTCTGAATATATCAGTAACCGTTTTCCTCGTAGGACGCTTTGGATGAAGGCGCTGGCTACATGCGTAAGCTGTAAATGAATTTGAGCATTACTGGTCATTAGAAAATGCAACATTAATAGAAATCTGTTTTTATGTGAAGTTATTATTAACCATTTCAAACTATTAAAAGACTATGGACAGTAAATGTAAAATTGAGTAAATGGCCCTGGCGGAGGCCCCAGTTACATCAACAGAATTTATAATTCAGCAGACATCCCTGTTCGACTTAAATATTAATCCCTGACATAACTAAAAATGGGCTAAGTCACAATCTCCCAGAGTGTCTGAGCTGTTTGGGTTGTCCGTGTACTCTAATAGTGTCCATAAATCATTTCCAGGCTTTGGAGGCTGAGGCTCAGAGGTCCGCTGCCTTTCTGCTGAAAGGTAAAAGCTGTTCATTGGCCCACATCTACTGAGGTGAAAAGCTGTCTATTATTTTACTTACCTTGAACTCGTAAGATTCCTCAATGACTACTTCCAGCTTGGTGTGCTCTCCCAGGCAGGGACAGCCCATCTTTGACACATCCTCTGGCCCCACTGCTGTCTTGTTATCATTGGTGTCTCCTGCACAGAGGAACACGAGTAAAAACTGTCAGGGCTTTGTCTAACCATGATCTCTCTATGCAAAAAAATAAATGATGTGACAGATAAAAAGTCAGAGGGATGTCACCCTTTTAAAACTCATCATCAACTACATAAATCAGTGGGTCGGAATAGAAAAAAAACACATAACTAAACAAACCCCTTAGCTGTAAATCCAAATAATTCTACTCCCCGACTGAAACACTTTTGCTTATTCTGTTTCATATTCCAGCAACCAGGCCCCCAGCAGCAAACCTGTTCATAAAATGCGGGAGGGAGAAGGGAGGTAATTTGGCTCACGTTTCAGAAGAACTCGTGTCAAAGGAATAAATCAGCACCCAGCGGTTTGCACAGAATATAAAGATGAGCTAATGCAGCATTAAGCAGGAGTCATGCCCTGCTGCTGCAGTCTCCCGGCTCACCGTGTCTTTGCCCAACCTCCAGCAGAACGGGCTCCTCCAGGACAATGGTGAAGGTCTTGTTTTTCTCGTATTCTTCATCGTCGATGATCTTCACGTTCAGCATCTTCCTGCGGGGAGAGGAGGTGGCCAACGATAATGTGTTGAATTAATCGGCTTATTTTGGAAATGGCAACAGCTGTGGATATGAGTCAACCAGCCTCTGTCACCTAAATTCTCCTGAAAATCGCCCATTTTCACAGCACTGCTTCACACAGCTACCTCCATGTGCGTGTAGACATTAAGATAAAACCAGTGTAGCTAAAAACTGGTCTGCTAACCAATCATGAAACGCATAAAATGGAAAAGAGGATTGTTGCTCAGGACGTCCACTAATTAACGAATATCCTGTATTGTAGAACCAAATAAAACAATGAAATATAATTTCCCATCACTCCACAAGAGGGCGGACTCCTTCTACACCATTAAGTGTTAAGAGTGGAGTGAAACAGGCTACAATCCTCCCACTCATCTAAAGATATGCACCAGTTTGATCATCTGCTTCTCTGTGGCAATCAACACATGTTAAAGTGGATTCTTTGTCTTTATTCGCACGGACGTTGTGTGGTCCCTAATCTGTGTACCACACGTGCACGTGTGGCTGCGCTGTCCGGCCGAGAGCAGCACATTTCCCTCGGCCTGCTTCATTCTCCTACACTGTCACAGTCCTTCTTTCTTCCCCCTCTCCCTCCATCTCCCTAATGATATGTGGGTGGCTGTCTATTTCTGTCCACACGTATACACACTCAGGATCTGACAACACGCAGGGCAAGCGTTTGCTTGCAGAAGAGAAGAATCTTATTTTAAACACCAGCGATACGTCATCTGCAGTCTAATGTCAGGGAGTCATGAGAGTGGGAGCAAAGTGAGCTCCTGCGCAGCCTTTCGATGGGAACAAAAGAGTTTATGTACCTGGTAAGCTTACTTTGAAGCTCCATGTTAAGGTCTTTGAATAAGATGTGAAAGTACATTTTCTATACATATCTCTATACATATTCGTTTCTTTAAGCAATTGTAAAACTACTGGTTAACCACGAAGTTTCACTAGAAAATATCTGTTTCAGTTGCAGAAATCAAAAGTATAATTATCTCAGCTGTTTTCCCATGAGCTCCCACCTTTCCAATAGTAAAGTGAAAGAGTCAAATAAGCTTCCAGTTCACACGCAGTGCTCTGAAGAACCTTGTGAGGATTTTTTAAACAGGCTACCTTACCAAACTGGGGCAAATCTTATGAGTCAACGTCATGCTGATGCGCCTGTGGCTTGGGCCATGGCTTCCCAGTAGCCCGACATGCCCTTGATCAGCTTTCTAATTTGCTGAGGAACATAAAGCTCTCAGGAAACATAAATGTCAAAGGTTTGCTCGTAATGCTCAGACAAGAAACAGTATTCCACCAGCAGCCATCTTCTCACTTTAATAGCTCCACGTAGAAACAACTCTTCGATACACCATCTCTCCTTGTTTCTGTCTTCTTTCCACAGTCTAGTACCTTCAGTATAAGTGGATATTCACTTGTTGGCTCCCAGCACAGTGGCAGAGATACAATGAAACACTTTTCCTTTCAGTCGAATCTGTTAGGGCTGTGCTGCCTTCACTTTCAACCAGAGCGTTTTGAATCTAAATCTGCAAACGTCGCAGACACAACAAGGCCTTGGATTTGAGGCATCGTGATTCTGCCCAAATTTCCACGACAGCAAATGAAAGAGTCGTGTCAGAAAAGGTTAAAAGCAACTGTCAGATAAAAGCCTGATTTATTACTTCATTTGGGCTTCAACCGTCATCGAATCTGACCTTAGAGGCTCAGAAAAAACAGAGAAACTGAACTGATGAGGTGGCTAGGGGCTGAAAGCTGTGAAAGACGCAGATTTTAAATCATGCAGAGGATCATTTCTAAATGTTTTCAACGCATCAAATCCGAAAATACAAACAGTAGTTAAACCTTTACTGAAACTGAAGATGACGGTGTGGATTCGGCCGTGATTTGCTAATTAGACATGAAACTTGTTAAGAAAATAAACAGTTTAAGGGCGTAAATAAGTTGCCAGGAAAACTGTTTAAAATCTGTTTAATATCTTTATTTTGGCTTCCTTTGCATAAAACTTATGACAGTTTCTCCATGGTATCTCCATGTTTAATTCCAGCCCTGGCAACTCCCTGTAAAGCTAACAGTTTGGTTTTGATCACGTCAGACAGACAACAAACAAGAATCTCTGTCCAAGTAGAAATGGTCCCTCTCCAGGATCCTGTCCATTGTTGGATTATATCTACTATAGAGCCCTCTCTTTGTATATTACATTTGCCTGTTTTATTGTTGCCTGCCTGTCGTTTGCATTTCTGGGACGGTTCCTGGAAAGTCAGAGTAGGTAATATAGTGCACTCATGTCTTCGTGCTACAGCTCTGCATCGTTTTTGCTCTGAGGACTGATCTGCAGTTTGGCTCTCTCCTTTCAGAAGTTAACATAAAACTGCAAAGTGGCTCACACTGTTTTAGAATCTGCTAAACGGAGAAAAGTTGTGTTATGTTTTTTAAATAATTCACTGATTTAATCTGAGAAAGCAGCAAATAAACCGGGGAGTGTCCCTTGGGTGGCACAGCTCTATAGTTAAAAATTTAAAACTCCAGAGAGGTGATTTGTAAAGGAGCTCTGTAGCTTTTTTGTTCGGAGTTTGCCTCTCCTCGTCATCCTGCATCACTTCGTGAAGCATCCTTTGTTTTCCTCCTGCAGACCAAAAACATGTACAGCAAGTCATGAGAACTGGGGACTCCACATTGCCCACAGGCCTCAGTATTGAGTGTTTTTGTGCCTCTGGGTTAACTCAAGCAAGCTTTCTTTAAATTCTGCTGTCTATATGTTGACATACTGTCAGCCCCAGCTGTCCTGATCAACAATGTCCAGAAATTAAGTCAGTGGGAGCAGCAGGAAATACGAATGAATGCATGATGGAACGTCAGATTCCTATGACTGAAACTGACACTTCTACTCAGTAAAGAGCAGTAAAAAAAAACAGTGTGTCTGCACCTACCAACCCTGCTGCCAGCTCTAGGGGCTGCATCTTCTCATAGAAAGAATATGACAATAATTGTGTCTCCTGTCTTTTGCTCGATTATCACGCAGAGGAGATTCATATCAGCTGTAACAGATTTGAACACTAACAGTGATAAATGACCAACCAGCTAATATTTTGAACTGGCAAAATTGTTTGCCTGTACAGAGACTGGCTCTGGAATGAGATTAGAACGGGAACACAGAGCAAAGCACGAGTGTGATGAGAAGCAGTTCAGGTTAATTGCTTATACAAAAGGCATGCTCCCCGTTAGCTACTGTGTGGCTGTATTTATGTGCTGTGGTTCATGCGTCCCTGCCTGCAGCCACAGCTGTAAAATGCTGATGCTGAGCATGTTTGCCCATTTTAAAGTCCCAGCATTAAACATACTCATTAGCAATAAAAACACAATTTACAGGTGGATGCTGGAAGGAAGAAGATCTCACCGATATGCATGAAGCATGATCTCTTTAACAGCACATCATGCAGCGGTGGCTTCCAAGAAATTAAGATTATGTGCTGTTGCCATAGAAACTGTGGCAAAATTTGGATAATTTGCACAGTTTCTCTTAGTAAACAGATATAGAAAAAACACACACATAGAGGACAATAAGGGGATAGTGGTGGAAAGCAATTAATGTGGCTTTCAGACCTCCTGGGAAACTATTTTTCAAAAAAATATTTAGCCTTACATACGTGCTATTGTCGTGTGGTGATGTTTAGAAGAGAAAAATTAAATCTTAGATTCACGGTAAGGATGGATATTCACATTCTTAAAAGTCAACAAAAAAAAACAATTCAAGGAGACAGATAAAATTTGTGTTGTTATAGATTAAGACACTTCATTAACACTGTCACGCTTTGGAGTAAATCGGACGCATTTAGCACATCTGTTGATGCATTTACAAATTGTTTATTTTTGACGACTCATCACCTGGAATCCAGGAAAAGGATTTTTTCTCTAATGCTGTACAGTGAAAAAAAATCACTCCCTTCGGCATGTTTAGTGTTTTTTTGTAAAATGTTACTTTAAAATGTTTTAATCGAGGTAGTCAAATATGTATTCAACTTCAAAATCAGCCACCATTTGCAGCAATTACAGCTGAAGGTCTCTGTGGGGATGTCTCTGTGAGCACGGCTCATCGAGCCACTGGGATTTTTGCCCATTCTTCAAAGCAAAACTGCTCCACTTTCATCAAGCTGCATCCCAGTATCGTATTAAAAGGTCTATTTTCATTTAAAATGTCTACTTAAAAGTAAAGTTGGTTGAAAACCTCCCTGTCAAAGGCTCAGCTAAGACCGGCTGCAGCACCGGTCCCCACTTACCTCTGTGGATGGACGTTTTCCGCCTCCTAAGCATGACCAACGCAATTTTTAAACAATTTCTCTGTGTTTCCTGACAATGCTTTTAGATGAACTGGAAAAAGATACAAAAACAAAAGAGTAAAAGTGTCTGGACACAAATCGACCACTACATTGTTTTGCTGCTGGCCTCCTCAGTCTGGAGTCGGTTTCTGCCAGACAGCTGTGACAGGAGCACGACTTCTTTAAATGCTGCAGCCAATGAAGAATAAAATTGTTGCTTCCTGTGGCAACACTGAATTGTTTTAGCCTTGTGTGTCCTCCGGTAGAAGGAGGGGAAAAATACAAACATTAACACTGAGAGGATGAATGATCAGTGCCAAAAGGGATGCAATATAAACAAAAAAGAAAAACCATTAGGGGCAGGGACATCAAGAAAAGAGGGTGGAGGCTAAATCATTTTGATTTGTTGCTGAAAGAGGTGAAAGGTGAAAAAGTAGGGTACACACTACAGTGTAGGGACAAAAGTAATTTAGGAAATAATACCAATGTTATACTATATCCAGATATGAACTGAATGTCTCTCATAATTTACTATCAAAGAATTCATTATTTGTAAGAATACTGATACCCAACTAAGTAGAAAAATAATCCAATCTTGAAACAGGAAAACCTCCCCTGGAAAAAGTGCCACCTTGTGTTGATTATTTTTAAGGGCCCAAGACAAAAAAAATCCTTCTTTAATGGTGTATCCTTGTCAACACTTACTCTCAGGTCAATTTAATTTTGTTCAGTTATTTAACATGAAATAAAAGGAAGTTTGTCCTTCAAGTGAAGCTAGAATAAAAAATGTCTCTGGGTCAGATGAAGAAATTATAATCATACTTCAGGGATCATTAAAGCATTGAATAGTTTGTTGAGATATATTTCAGTAAGAATCAGCCAAGGTCCTTTTCGAGCAATGTCTTCTTTAAGGCTACGTTTGGAGTTGTTTAAAAAAAATTACATCGCTTTTAGCATAAACCGTGTGAACGCACACCTCGCTTTGCTGCAACTTAAATAGAGCAAACCTTCCCTCCTCCCTTTGATGAGTCGAGGAAAAGTGAAAGGTTTCCGAGCTGAGAGCAGATGCCCTGAACACATTGGATGCGCCCCATCTATCCATGCACTCCGGGAAGTTCAGGACGTTATCGATCCCACTTTAGGCATGAGAAATAATAAATATTGGTGTATGAGTTCTCCGTTTCAGAGGCGATCCCCGAGCACCTCTTTCATCCTGTTTTATGTAACTGCCCCCATTATCCACTTGATACTGAACTAGTACATTTCCACACATTTTGAGACGCTAATATAAGCAGATGCTTCAAACAAGCATCAAAGGTCTGCGCAGATTGTCCCCTAATCCATAAACACAGAATGTAAAACGCTTCTCTATGTCAGCCTGTTTATTTTAGCTAAGAGGTTTGTGTCTGTACATCATAATCTATTTACTGCAGTGCTGAATTTAGATGGTAAATTACCATTCAGTGGCACAGAGAGATTTTCAACTGTTCCTTCTGGCTCCGTGTCAGAGGCTTTAAAAATGGCTTTCCTCCTCTTTTGCTCTTCCTCACGCTCAAACGTCAACAGGAAAAGGCAGATATACGCAGACTAAAAAGAGCCACACAAAGCCTGAGAGGCTGAATCTGACGCATACGTAGAGGCGCCCGGAGGCCTGCTGCCGAGTATCAGCTCTTTGTCCCGATCGCCCTGGGAAACACTGGAGCAATAAGGCAGGCTCTGTTTAAAAAATGAACTTTGGCAGCCTGCTGAGCAGCAAGGAACACACAGGGCAATTCACCGCCGAGAAAGGAAGAAACACACCATTAAATGTGGAGCTCAAACGCTTTCAGAAGGCACACGCTGAAGTGATGAGATTCACCTGCATGTATTAATGGAAGCGAATGAACGAGTCGCATAAGACAGCTTCATGAAAAATTCAGCAAAGAGGGAACACAGAGCGATCCGAGCAACTTTCAGTTGAGAATCTAAACAATGGCAAATTTGGGCTCAGCAATAGGAACTGAGAAACACCCTCAGTGAGAGATGGAGGTTCACGCTTGTTCATTTACATTCAGCTTACAGGACAACCGTCTCTCTGTGACTTTACTAGACCTGGTAATTGCGACTTGAGATCAAAACAGAAGTTTTCCATTCATGATCGAAGCAGTCCAGCACTCCCCTTCAATGTCTCACTGGTTATTTGAGCCAAGGAGCAGAGGAGAAGCTGAGCACAGCTCTGGCACTTTCCCTTACATCTGCATCTTGGATTCCTCTCATCAGTTTCTGGTAGGAAAACCAGAAGCCCCGTTTGCTCCAGTTCTCTGTGGGGCTTCTTTTTCTCGAGGCATGATGAACGTTGAAAGAAGCATAATTCCTACATCCAGTGAGCAGATGCATGTGTCACTGTGGGCTTGCTACAGCCTGATGAGCAGGATCTTGGCTCGGCAGTTGAGGATTTTGTCTACCTCTCTGTCTTCATTTGAATGCGGATACAAGCCGCCCTGCCTCTCATCTCACATTGTTATGCACTACTGACTCATTATCTACGGCCTCTGTAGCGGTCTGCTCCGTGTTGAGAACTTTTGGGACCCCTTTAACTCCTCTTCACTCTCTCTAATTGCTTAGGATGCAAAAGAAGCCCTTCCCAATTCCCATTTGGAGCAATGGAGCAATCGTTTGATGTAGGTTTAAAGTGGACTCAGCACAAGTACAGACTTAATAACACACACAGCAATAGCAAGCAAATCCAGAGATAAGTGCGCACCAGCAAACCGCTCCGCGCACAGGCCGGTGTATTCATATCTCACCTCCACTGTGAGGCGAAATAGTTAAATAGGGAGATCTGCATTCTCTTTGACACCATGCATTCACCTGCCTTCCCTCCCACGCAGCCGGCCCACACATAACACCTACACACGGCCGCTGCGCAGACAGATTCATCTGACACATTTTCTTCTTTTGTTTTGTCCTTTGGTTTGCAGTAAATCCTCCTGCAAAGAGCTTGACTCATTTCTAGTCAGAAAAAAAACACCCCCTGTATTTAACCGTTAGGCCTATCACATTATAAAGTAAACACCACTCATGTACCCGTCGTTCATGCGACCCTGCCACGCTAGAGAAAAGCAGGAAAACATCACACTTTCAGCTCTCCCTTTGAACACTCTTTTTCCCCGATCTTTTCATCTGCCTCTCTGCTGGTGCATCCATGAATCCTTTTGTTGGAATAATCTCACGGGCTTCATCACATGCACCTGTTTCAGAAGCTGCTCAACCTTCTTCCCCTCCTCAGCGCTGTGTCGGCCGCTTGTCTGATTTTCTTTCTGCTGACAAACAATCACTCCCAAACAATCCCTCTGTCTTCTGTGGGGAAGGCTACCGTGCGGGATTACAATAAAGAATATAACCTCGGCACGGTTCCCACAGGCCTGCGTTGTACATTTTTTTTGTCATTCACCGGGGGCCCTTTCTTTCGTTTTCTTCTTCGTCTACTTTAGGCACAATGTGTCATTATCTGCTCCATAATTATATCCTCTTATCCTCCCACGTCGCCCCCCCGAAAGATCTAAACTTTTAAGAGCAAATGTATCTGTGACGCGTAAAAATAGTTCATGCTTCCATTATCAGAACGGAAAAAGCCCAGTGATCTATTCGGACTTAACCTTAAACAAGCGTGCAACGATGCGTCACGTAGAAGAAGAAACTGCTCCTTACATGGTCTCGTCATTCTGAAACTCCAGCTTGCCGGACACGTCCTCGTAGTCCTCCCCGGCTTTGGCGGTGCCCTCGACGGTGTGGTACGGCACGGCCACCTTCCCCCTCGCTCCAGACGTCCTGTGGACCTTCACCTGCATGTTGCCCACGCTCTCGCTGACCCTGGTGGACTTGCTCTCGAACGTGAAGATGCCGGCGTGGTCGTCGTCGTAGATGGTGACGGTGGCCATGTCGGCGTTCCCCAGGGCGGCCTTCGGGGGGACGTGGGAGGAGGCCCCCACCGTGCTGTTGCTGGAGGTGATGGAGTTGGGCTCCAGGACGGAGACCTCGGCCCGGTGCACGATCCGCGGGTTGCTGAGGCGCACGTAGAAGTGCTCGTCCTCTTCAAAGATGTCGTCGTCGATGACGCCGACGGTGAACTCCTTTGTCGTCTCGCCAGGTTTGAAAACCAGAGTGCCCTCGGCGAACTCATAGTCTGAGCCCGCGTTGGCCGTCCCATCCTCTGTCCTGTAGTCCACCTGGGAGTCGAAGGGAGAGAAACAATTAAATATTCAGTGAGAAGAGTTATGAGTAGATGCAAACCGGTAAATATTTCATGCTGCAAGCTGTTAAAGTTGATAAAAATATTTCTGTCCCTATCCCCCCCTTCTTACTTTCACGGTGCAGCCGTTTTCTCCTCCGTGGCGGCTGACCGACAGCTTGAGGGAGCCGCAGTTCTCGAAGCACTGGTAAAGAGACGGGTCGAACTGCAGGTAGATGGTGTTGGGATCCTCCTCCTGCCCGCTGGCCTCGTGGCAGCTCACCACCTTCCTGGCCTGGTCAGCGGCGTGCTTTTTCAGGATGTTCCCGGCGCCGATCATCATGCGTGTGGCCTGGATGCGATAAAAGGCTCGACTCTTCTGCTGCTGGACCAGCACTTGGTAGTTGGCCATCTCGATCAGCTGCTCCATGTCTTTCTCGGGGTGCCTCTGTTTTAAATCTTTCAAGGTGCGCGCCATCTCCCGACGGGCCTCTTCCTCTTGATCTTGCTCCGCGCTCGACCCTCCACCTTCCTCCACCCCTTCCAGCATTCCATCCAGAGCCTCTTGGGGGTGAGTGTGAGAGTTTGCTCCCTGCCCGTCCATTTCCAAGTCCATTTTGGTGAACATGGCGTCCCCCTCTGATTCGATGATGATGCCACGCGTCTTGTCGGCTCGGTACCGCTTGTGGACGTACTTGTAGAAGAGCAGGCGTCGGTCCGCAATCCAGGCTTGCAGCACACAGAGAGGGAAGAAGAAGAAGGTGAGGACTGCCTCCCAGACCTCCACCTCTCCGGGGGAGAACACGGACAGGATGAGGTAGAGCCAGATGTAAGCGAAAATGCTCCAGGCCGCAGTGACGAAAAACACCCGCAGGTGCTTTATCTTGCGGGTTTCGGTCTCTGGCACCACGTAGACACAGATGGCGATGATAATGAACATGTTGAATGCAGCACTACCCACGATGGTGCTGGGTCCCAGAGATCCGGCTTCGAAGTTGTGGCCGACCACTTCGATGACAGAGAGCAGGATCTCCGGGGCGGACGAGCCCAGCGCCATCAGGGTCAGGTTGGATACCGTCTCGTTCCAGACGCGCACGGTGGTTGTAGTTGTCTCGCCGTTTGGCTTTTTGATAGTGATCTCCTTTTCCTGAGAGGTGATTACCTCGATAGAAGACATGAAACGGTCGGCGATGATGGACATGCCCAGGAACATGTAAATGAGAGCTGCAAAGTACACAATGGCGCGCGCCACTTTGTCTCCCACCGCCGGGTTCTGAGGGTTCCACATGGGCAGCACCACACCGTCGGTGCAGTTGTCCTCACTGGAGCAATTGCTGGCGGGGCTGCTGATCTTTTCATGGCTCGAGCTGCCCTGGGAGAGACGGGTGGCGCCCGGGAGGAGAACCAGCAAAAGAGAGAGGAACATGTAAGGGCTGAGGGGGGGAATGAAGTTCAGGATAGGTTTGTGCAAAATCATGGTGGCGTGAGGGTATCTGGAGTCCTCTACTGTCGGAGTTGAAACCACGTCACATTCGGAAGGTTGTTCAAACTTCTGAAAGAAAGAAAAAAAAACTGATTTTGAATACATTAACATTAAGTTAAATATTCATTTTTGGAATCCCGGCATGACCCCTACAAGGAAAGACATCACAGAAGCGCTTGCAGTCATGCTCTTTCATATGCAAATGATGTGGGATCCAACACTTTGGTCAGTCCGAGTTTGTGGAGCCAGAAATATTGGCACCTACTTATGGTTGAGTCATTGGTATTGAACAATCTGGTCCGACTCCCACACATATAATGTGGTCATTGTGTGCTGAGCTGCAGTATTAAAAGTTACCCTATGCACCTGTAGTATCGAGGGAAAAACTGACTCAGTCCACAGCATATAGTCAAGTTAGATCAAATTCCGAAAATATTTTTTTTTTCTGGCAAGAGAATCAAAAGTGACTGTTTTTTCTTCTTGGATGGATCTCATTATGAGGCTTTTTAAAGGAAAATCCATTCTAGGGCTTCATGGAAAGTCAGCATGCATCTCACGTTTGTGGAATATACCTTTTAATGCTAAAAATGTAGTAAACACCTCTGCTTTTGCACATTATATAAGCTATATCTGGGGACAACTTTAAATAAATCCAGTATGTTTCTCTTGGCAGCAGCATCTTAACAGCTTTGGATGAACAATTCAGACCACAGCATCAATACTATCCAGAGGCTTAACATCTGCAGCTGTGTGAACAGTGAGAAAGAGAGTGGGAAATGCCAAGCAATGTAATCTGGTGCCTGCTAATTAAAATTTCAAGACCACGTCCAGCACAAAAATATGTTTCCTACCTACAGCAGGGGGAATCTGACAATGCTTAATGTATGGCATGTTCTCTCGCTGACATTCAGCAGGGGAGGGCTGCATTTCTGACTATGACCTGGCTGCAACTCAGGCCATAGTCGCATAAGACAGATGCAGAAATGAAATTGAATTTATTCTGAGCCAATAACTAACGCTGTATTTGTGCAACAAAATCAGTCCTGTGTTACAACTCTTAAGCCGTCTGCATCATCACAGCGGAACGTCGGTGAAATCAGCACCATGGACAGCAACAAGCAATCCATGCTGCTAAGGCTGGGACGACTTAAGGGATCCACAACCCTGTCCCTTGACAGCATGGACGCATTTCTTTCCCATCAACTGCGAGGGAATAAAAAAAAAATACAATCGCTCTCATCTGGCACACAACCCTGCACAAATGTGTGAGTGGGTGACGTTTCTATGGCAAAAGCAAGCTCTCCAACTGGTGGGGATGGAGCACTGAAACATTTTTTTGACTATACTATATTTAGAGAAAAAGTGTATTTTTCTCTCCATTTCTTCGGCTGATGTCACACTGCGTTCAGTGCCATGCTTTCCTCGGTGAAATCACCAGGTAGCAACAGATGCCTCCAGTCTGAGGAGCATGTCCGATTTTTGCCAAATAGAGGGTTTTAAGAGTCAATACGAGAGCAAGTGTTGAAAGACTTAAATGTTTTTGCATTAGATAGAAAGATGCAATCCACTTAACAATAAAACAAAACAAGCTGCAATCCTCCACACAAATGTTTTTTATGGTTTCTCACATTTAATATCATGATTAAAAGCACTAAGTTGACTTCCAGTTTTCATTTTGTGCCGACAGTTTTGGCTGACCCGAATAAATTCCTGTTAATTCAAACCTAAATATTTTTTCTGTCTGCGTAGAGAAGGTCAAAGGTGGCAAATAAACACTTTGCATGCATCATGAGTCACACTAATGCCTGTTCTGGTTTTGACGGTCTGATATGAGCTGCAGTATCAGATACAATAACAGTTCCAGTCCTCATAAATGTCATCTCTGCTATTGAGGAAAAGTGTTATTACAATAGCAAACAAAAAGAACAAAAAAGGTAAAGGTCTGAGCCAAAACGACACCAGCTATCGGTTTGCATGCAGACTTGAGTTTTAGAAACCAAGAATAGAGAAAAAAAAGCACAAGCTAATACAGAAATGGGGTTTGTATATTGTATATTGTCAATTTTTATAAATAAGGCATGGGCTGAAACTGCATTACTCACCCAGGTGCAGTTGTCAGTGAGTCAGCCCAGCATGGGAGTTATGGCCTCAAGAAAACAACTTATCTCTCATTTTGCTCTGTGGAGACATAGATATATCTTTACTTGGTATTTTTTAAGGAGAGTTTCGGAACCACCTCAGTGCACACTAGAGTTCTGACTGAGATGCTCGTATCAAAAGTCGTACATCTGAACCAGCTTTTTTTTGTTTTGTTTTTTTAACAGGGCTGTAAACAAACATAAACCAACACAAAGCTAATTACCCCACAGGGTTTGTGACTAAACTCGATAACAACAGTGAAGAGAAGACGCGTATTCCTTCTAGGAGACTCTGCCTGAGGGACAGTCGGCCAGGTCCAGTGGATGCGCACACCATATACTCACAGAAAGCCCAGCGGGGTCATGGTCACAGCGTGGCCACCCTGCACCAGCTTAACAGAAGACACCCCGAGTGCCATTGGCACAGCAAGCCGGCGTGTGCCTTTGGCTTGTTGCGCTGGTGTCTTGGAAATGACGCGTAGCTTTCCTCTCAGCTTCTCCGGTACGTTTTTTCGGGCAAGTACCCTGTTTCAGTAAACTTAGCACACTCCGCTTAGTTCCTCTCTTTGAATTCCCTCCGTGGCATCACCGCGACACCTTCCGCCGAGCTAAGTGATTTCTCAAAAGACTCAATGCGTTTCCAGCTCTCTCTTCTCCCGACTACGAGCGATTGTTGATGCGTAAAATAATAAATCGAATATCTGTATCCTCATTCCCCCTCCTTCTCTCGGTCAGGAAATCTTCTTAAACCGTAAAACGAATAAGGATTAAAAAAAGCTTTTTTTAGTTGTTTTTTTTGCATCCAAAAAATACTGAGTAGGGGGGGAAAAATCACCCCACTCTTTAGTCTGAGATGGATAACGCACAGAAACAAGAACTGCACATGAGAGTAGGCGTGAATGAATGGTGAAGAATTGAGAGGACAGAAACCACACAGTAACACGGATCAGGACAAGATGGACATCAAGCTGAGGAATGGTGGCAGACAGAAAAGAGAGGAGTGTGGTGCTATGCAAATGGAAGTCTTGTCTTACTCTTGCGGTGTGGGCAGCTTTGGCACAAGAAACGATGAGCGAGAAGGAAAAGCAGTAACACTGCAGAAACAGGGGAGGAGACGTTCGGGAGCAGCGCTACACGCACGGATGGTCCTCCTGACTGCGCATCAGGAGTCCTGGATGAATGAACATCACACCCCGAAATCCACAGAATTGAACTGGTTGCTGGTGTTACGCAGATCGTCTGCTATGAGATGAAGGGGTGAACCCTCAGATGCGGGAGCCTGTGGGTCGGCTGTGGGTGGTGGTTGTTTCATTCTGAGAGGTTGTGTATAGAACAGGGAAAACAGACCATAAACCTTAAATGGACACGTTTGAATGAATGTAATTAAAAACTCCCAATATAAACTTCTAGGATTCATTTGAAGAGCGTGTAAATAATTAAAATGATAAAAGAAGCTTGAGAGGGCTGTTGAGATGGGAGAACCTGCATCTCCACTCATTTACATCCAAAGCACCTGCAAGCAAATCTCTGATGGGAAACTGAATGCTTTTTTAAAATGTTCACCATCTTTGTCAAAAGCAGTTTTGTTCTGATTTCTTTCTGTTACATTTTGTACAGAGCAGACTTGGACATGCCAGAGTGACATCATCAAGAAAACCACAGATGGACAAATCCCAGAAACAGAAGAAAAATAGAACCGACACTGAAGGCAAAAGAGAAAGAACGAACAAGCTCTCTTTCGGTGATCAATGGGAGGAAACAACCAGGCTGGAGTACAAACTGCTTTGACCAGTCAGAGTCAGATAAAGGATTAATTTCCTTTAAGGAGCAGGAATGATAAACCTTAAACACTGATGTGACTTATTACTAAAGCGACTTCAGATAGGACTACTGTAATGTGCATTAAGAAGACAACATAGCAACTAAAAAGTGAAAAGATTGAAGCTTGTATTCAGAGGAGAGTAAAGAATTGTTTGAACTCGATCTACAGGAAATCATATAAGTTCAAAATCAAACATGTGGCAGTGCTGTCAGTCCAACAAAGTTTTGGAGCATCCTCAAGTTAAATAAACCTCTTAATTCATGCTAGTTTTTACATCTTTGGTGCAAACAGGCTTTTGTGTTTAATCCTGTCTATGGGATTCATCTGCACCCAGCACATTCCACTTGTTTTTGGCTCCGAAAGCATTGGACCCAAAAATGTTGCCTTTATGTTGACAACTTAATTTAGTTTTTATCTGTGCGTTGTTTCCTGTTATGATTGGAGAGTGCATGCCTGAGGGGAGGCTGATAGCAAACATTAGAGGGAAATAAACCAGATTAGGCTGAGATGTGCGGAACAGGGCGCTGCAGGAGAGGAGCAGCATGACAGAGACCCGTGTTCCTGTAAGGAGGAGGTGTTTTAAACCCGCACGCTGACTGATGATGGAAAGATTTGTGCCATCATCAAAGGAGATGCTTTTCATGAGCATCCACATAATGCAAAAACTGAAATCCAGCTTTAATGTCAGCTTTGGCATTCTAATCAAGAAACATTTATTCATATTATCATTATTATTATTAATAATTTCAAGGGAGCTACAATATAGTTTTTTATGAGAGTATTTGCTTTGTTTAGTCTCTTTTATTATCAGATTACATTTAAAATAGGATGTTAGAAACTTTTAAAAGTTATACAATTACATCAAATATATCTTTTTTAATTCTATAAGTGAAAATAACATCACGATATCATGTCTAGGTATTTGCTGAGAGTGACAGGTTAGTGTTTGAGTCAACAGTCAATCCTGCAATTTCAGAGGAAGTCAAGTGAAATAAACTGACCCGCAAGTAGGCATGGACGGCTTCTCCAGGAGAGGTGTGTCTGTCCACAGGGATTTCATTTTCTGTAGTGTTAAACGGTGTTTAGTTTCACAGCTCAGGACGGAGGCAGCAAGGAAGCGAGCTGCGAACGGTTCAGGAGAGTAAAACAGACTCCATAATGCTGGTACAGCAGGGGCAAAGTATCCCAACCACTGCAACCCTCATTCACTGGACACAAGCCTTAAAAATGGACAGAGACAAACTGAAGAATTAGAAATGAGGGCTGAGCAGACCGGGGTACTGAAGCAGCTGAGAGGAAAGGAGTCCCAGGTCAGTCCCACCCAAGAGAAAAACCAGGAGGAAAGAGAGGAAATGCCCAGTTGTTTCTGACATCTGGATGGAATCCAAGTCTGAAAAAGGACACATTTTAAAGCCGAAAGCCCAATTTGAGATGAACTGATTTTTCTTCTGAGCAGAATGTTTCCTGTGAACTACCAAACGCCAACAGTGGAGCTAGTTTATTCTAATTGTGGGTGGTTGCAGATGTTGATGTATGTGCCTTTAGCTTGGGAAAGGAGAAGGCGTTGCTCGGGGTAAAGCTGTGACTGATGCAAAAGATTTTTATTCCCTCCTGTTTACTGCCGCGTTTCAAAGAGGGCCAACGAAAACTATCTCATTCTTCAGCGTGATCAAACCGTGGTCCGTCAGTTTGAATTAACTTTTGTTATTTATCAGCGTTCAGCTCTTGGGGCCTGGCCAGCGCAGAGCTAAAGTGCCTTTGTCACACCACAAATCCTGGCTTGTCACTAGGTGCATCACAGGGGAGGCAAATTTAGCAAACAATGAGTTATTCAATTAAGCGTCCCAGCAAGCCGTGACAGGAGCATAACTGCACATGACAGAGGTCCTCTGAATAACAAACCAAATCAAAGCTTAAGCTTCGTTTTTCCTTCTAATGAACGCCAGGATTAGTGCTGTGAAAGATGACCTTCAACACACCAAAAAAGTCCCATTAGTTAGATATGAAAACACAGCCAACAGGGGCCTAAATAGAGATAAATAAGCTCAATCACCGCCATCATCAGGAACTTCTGTTATGATGCAACAAAAGCAGGATTTTGCCTCATGCACGTGCACACAAATGTGCACGTCCAAACAGCAGAAGTGACTTGATCCCCATCCACATTATGTATTAGGCAGTTTTTTTTTTACAGGATCCATGGTTTTGTACAGATTCGGTCTGTAAAACGTAGCGATCAGTGTTTTTCCTTGTTTTATGTGAATGTGTTTCCTGTGGCCCCTCCCACGCCTTTCAGCTTTTCACAGCATGTTTTTATTAAAATTTCAACAAAAAGCCAGAGCTGCCGATCTTCCAGCAGAGACTCAGAGACCCAGGCAGAGAGCGATCGTCTCTCAGGAGTGTCTCCAGCCCTAAAACCTGGGGTGGATGCTCCTTTTATTTTTGGGTTATCGAGCTATTAGCCCCGGGGTAATGGCCGGCCTCTTCAGGGATGAAATTCAGAGCAGGAGAAGTATTTTTGTTGTGTTCTCAAGCAATGATCCCCAGGGCAGAGACCGCTCTCTGGTAGGTCAGCAGTACACAACCACAACATTGTGAACCTGGAGATGAACAGCTTGAGGGCAGCAAACAGGAGCAAGAACGGAGAGAAAACATGAAAAGATACAAACGCACCTGGTTGTAGGGGTGGTGTTTTCTGCATAAAGGGCTGTAACTGTGAGGGTATTTTAAATGAGTTAAATGGGTTTTTGGGTTCAATATCTAGGCAGCTGTCCAAAGTATTAATAGTATATTTCTTTATTTAATATTTTAGTTACCAACTTAATTAAATTTTCTGTAGATTTAACACATTTGATAAGATATTAAGTCCCAGTCAGAGATACTTGAGGGCTCAAAGAATCAGGTTTTACACTCTAACAGCCACAGTAGGGGGAATGTTTCCCACTCAAACACAATTTATCTTCAAACAACTAATTTATTTATTAATTTATTTTAGCAAATGGGGATTAATTTCCTGAATATTTCTCTAAGTCCCTGGGGGAAAATCCCTGAAAGATCTGATTCTACGGTGGTGCAGTAACTGCTAATGTAACACTAATAAAAAACTTGTGTCAGAAAATCGAGACGACATTCAGTCACTGAGAGATGAGGGAGCCCTCTTTTGTTTTTCTTGTCTCTATTTTGTTCCTTAAGCCAACTCATAAAGGTGCAGACAGTTTCATGATTGAAAGCAGAGCAGAGTCTTCTCACAGAGGAAAAAGGTGAAATACAAGTTCTGTTATTCCTGTCCTTTATTCATCGGCACAGCAGATCATCCGTCATATGGGATTTAAAATGAGAAATCTTTGGACAAAAAAATCCAAATGAGACCAGAATACAAACACTCAGATATTATTTAAGAGGAATTTCTGTTATTGCAGATGTCAGACCTTTTTTGTGTCACATATTTGGCAAAGTGTTTTTTAAAAAGTGGTACAAGAGGAAAAATGTGTGCTAACATCTTCTCAACATAGGCTACTTGCCTTTGCTTGTATTTGTCAGTTTTATCAGGTTTCTCTTTTCTAACCCTCTGTAATGTGTTGAGAAACAAGTCCCTGCTAATGTTGAATAACCATAAAGTCAGTCTTTACATTAATTTATTTTGAACAAGAAATCCTTTCCCGTTTGAGCAAGAAACAGATTCAAAGCAGGTTCAACAGTGACTCTGACCTTCGGTCTCGACTGGGAGGACAGCAGATGGATGAGAAGTTTAAAACTGAATTAAAGATTTTTTTAAAGGCAAGGGCAGCATCATCTGATCCTTGAACCAGTACATCAGCCTCAATGTACATATTTATGAGGAAAAGAAACACAGCTGAATCAGCCGGAGGAAGACAGGAGCTGTCCAGATTCCCCGGGGAACCCTCAGAGCTTAAATCCAGATATTCATCTATGATATTTCAAACCAACTACGCAGTGGGACGTGAACCGAAAATGAGCCCAGAAGGTGGTTGTTTTGCTTTTCTTTGCCCTGTTCACACATTGCGGTGAACATTTTATTGTTGCATTACTATGCACAGAACTTATAGATGATTTTATAGTTGGTGCATATGTTTGTTTTATCCCCCCCGGCTAACTTTAGTCACAGCAGTGAAAAAAAAAGAAAAATAAAGAATAGCAGCATCTATAAAATAGGCAGCAAATAAAATGACACCTTACATAATTAATCCTGAGGACATAAATCAGCGAACTTTCATGAAACCATCAGAACCGCATTCAAAGGGGAACAAAACATTTGATTTCTGATTAGAGACTGATAAGCAAACTTGCAGGATTTGTTTTCGTTGCTACAGCAACTGTTGCTACTCCTGAGTATCCACGGACGTTGAAGACGTGCCCAGGATTGTAGTCATTCTGAGCTATTTCTGTAAGATACGTGCCTTTTTTCCAAAAGGTTTTAATGAAGTCATCAAAAGAATGGAGTCGTTCAGCCATTAGTGCTCATTCATAAAGACTTAAAGGAAGAACCGTGGCCAGTTGTGCCATTTTTTGACAGAACAAAGCACAGTATTTCCCTTTGTGAGTGCAGACCTGCATCACGTTGGACCAGAGGCATATCGGTGTTTAACACCTAATTCAAGAGACATGTGAATTCAATATAATAGTTGTTTTTTTTTACATTGTTCTGCTGTGATTCTTTAAACAAATTAATGTAATTAATCATTCTGTCACAGGAATTATTCTTCTTGGGAGCAAAAGGCTAAAGATCAGGGCTATTAGATTAGATGTTCTTCGTTTCTTATAATTTCTACCATTTTCCCCTGAATGCTGTTCTTGGATGTTAAATGAGGAACCACTGAAGTAACTCTGGGTTAATGGGTTATCAGTGCAGTGTCCAGTCACCGGGGCCCTGCTGCCCAAATTCTAAATCTACAAACAGATTTACTTTAAGTAATACTCTCTGTAATATCACAGGGTGCAACTTGGGCCACATTACATGTGGTATGACGGATGCCTCACAGTGAACACAGAGGCTTTTGGGATCAACAGGAGTGATTAATCTGTAAATTTAAACTGATAAACGGACCGTCTGGTGCTGCCTATGCCTCTCATATGTTGCCATCTTGTGGACACTTTTTAAAAATCTGTCGGTCTTCACATGTGCTAACAAAGGGGTTAGCATGTGTACAAATAAAAAAAACTAAAGCTGTCTTTATTTAAACTGTATTCTGGCAACACTTCCTACAGTGTAACTGGGGTCGTTCCCACTTGTGTGTTTCTGCATTCTGCCACTTGCTTTGTGTGAAATCATTAAATTCTTTATTCCAACCATTATATTTCATGCCTTTGTGAAGCGATAAACAGGTATTTGAAACTACACAGCTGGGCTGCAGTCACTTATTACTGCCACTAGTGGGGACCCTAAAACCAGTGGTGAGTCTGTAGCGAGCCAGTGGTTTGATGAGAATTATCTAAAAAAGAAGACTGTGCAATTTAGTCTCATATCATAAGGTTTTAAACTATTACATGAATTTAAAATAAAGCAAAATGTTTGCTAGTGGTCGGAAAAGGATCACCTCAGTCATCTCAGTGTGATAGGATATTTTTTCTTGGTTGTTTGGGTATTTCAGGTGTTTGTTTAGGTATTTAGGTACTTAAAACCTGTGTCACACTAAATGTCACTTTTTAAACCTTCGTAGGAAAGCGCTTAAGATAATTCGACATAGTTTTATGCTGCTGCGTGTAAATAAAGACCAACCACCAGACTGAGGAACCAGTGAAATTGTTCTTAATAGGAAGGAAATCCGGAGTTAAAATGCTCATAAAGCCAGTAGACTAATCCTCTTGGATGCTTTCCTGTGGTTTCCGGTCCAGAAATCACTTATGTATTGGTTATGAATTTTGAGTTCCTGGCTCAAGATGGAGCCAGAGCCTCAATCCAGGGCCGCCTGGCAGCTTTCGACTCCAGTGGCATTTAACACTGCTCGTATCAAAAGAGACAACCCTCTCTCAGTTGTTCAACATCAAAACATTTACTGGACTCTGACAGCAAAATTAATGACTGCACCCCATCAGACATCCGTGACATTTTGGTTTCCCAGTTTGAAAATCTGAATGGATGGAGGTAAAGTACAAACTCAAAGGCAATTTGCATTCTAAATAACATCTCGACACAGTTTGACCAGACTGCAGGGAATCCCTAACCGCTGACAACACGGTGAACCAAAATAGACCAGCAACCTCTGCACAAATGTCAGATGGCCAGCACACTTCTCCAGACGGGCCAAAACCAACCATTCATTGCTCGGCTCTGTAACCCAGATTGCTTTCCTCTCACCACTTTTTTTTTAAATGACAAATTATCAGCCATAAACCATATGTCCTGTAATGTGCATTATATCTGACACTAACAAAATTATCCAACTATGCAATTCTACCATACGACGTAGGGCTGCAAAGATCTGGACTCTACCTCTGTACTGTCTTAGTGTTATTGATTTTTGTCAGTTCTCAGCTTTCACTCTGACGCTGTCATGAAAATAGCAGCATCTACTGATAATTTGTGTATGGAAATACAGTTCGACTCACTCAACTGTGATCTTGACATGAAGGGTTCTCCACATATAATCCTGCAGCCTAGATTATGGAACATCTGAAATGTGTCCTTTGAGACTTAACTTGACCTAAAAGGAAAGTGGACACTTACTGGGTGCAGACAAGCATGATGCCTTAATTGTTGAAATGATAACTTAATACTTTTCTTACATACTCACTGCTCTAAAAGGCTTGCTCTTTAGTACTGTATGTCATTTAAAAAATATCATGTAAGCTAATAATGACAAAGTTTTTTTATGACTTATGCATACATTGTTATGTTCAGTATCTCAGCATCTGATTGACCTCAAACTAACAAGCTTCTGTTTTAACAGAAAATATAAAAGTATATGGAGGTAACTATGGCTCTGTCTACCATTTAATATAAGAATAACCCAAAACTCCAATTAAAAAGTTTAAGCAGTGACTTACGGCTAAAATTATGTCTATTTAACCACGAGTTGTCATTGTTTGACTAGTTGTGACCACTCTGAAAATAGCTAAGATAAATGTTCGATTTAAATAGCCTTCTGTGTTTGAAAATCTCCACTTTACTTTTTCTGACTGCCTTGGAGATGCATTTCAGGGTCCATTAATGTGTGGATAATTAGTACTGAACGACACAACAGATGTGCATTTAAATTATATTCATTTATAACTTTAAAGTGTTTGGTAATTTTCTGTCGTTTGGCAAATTTAGTGAGTGATTTAGTGAGATCAAGAGTGAAAAGTGAATACAACGCATTTAGAAAAAAAAAAAAATGTGGCAGCAGTTTGCAACAGATGGCATCAGAGGTTTCTAAAATTTTCTTCATTACAAGGCTGGAAAATAGCGAGACCAGAGACGTGAAATGGAGCAAATGAGTGGATGCTTGCGGTGCGGAGGCAAGAAATGACAGGTGAACGAAAGCAAGCCCCTCTTCCGTTTCAGGGAGCGACGGACGACTGAAGGCTTCGGTGATGAGGAGGGAGACAGATGCAGACATTTGCAGCCGGCCCTGCCCCCTCATCAGTCTCCTGGGAACAAGGGATTATGGAAATGTTTAAATGTGAGAGAGAAGGAGACTGACAGAGAGGAGGAGAGAGAAAATAAGCGAAGGGGGGGGGGAGCCGGTGCGATGCTATTGGTTGACCATTGTAACATCAACCGCTATGGAAACATTTCTCTCGCAGTCTAAGAAATAGAGGAAGAGACGACCAGTGACAGTAGACTCAGGAAAACACATTTGAAATCTCTGGAGGGGATAAAAGAAAAGGGGACTTTAGGCAAAGAGAGGACGGAAACAAGTAGGAAAGGATATATAGCTGGAATCATTCACTTAGGACTCCTGAGAGCTCTGGAGATGCTTTAATTATCAACAGGAGTGTTTTCAAACCCAGAGAAATCCAGCATGTAAATGATCTGCGGGGCTCTGCTTAAACTTTCCCTCCCTTTTCTCCACCCCCCCCAGCAGAACTGAATCATTACTTCTGCGTTTTGGAGAAGGACAAATTTGAGGGTTTTTGAAGAAAATCTGAGGGATGCGTCTGAGACACAGAAACAGAGCAGACAATCCTGACATGGTGCCGACCCAACTTGACAGAGACGAGGACAGAGTGGACTGTTCAGAGGCAGACACATCTCCTGCCAGACACAGGTATTCTCTACTTGATATTAAGGTCAGTTAAAATATCGATCCATGGTAACAGCAGCTGTAACAGATGCTGTTCTCTACTGAGTTAAAATTGAAGCTGATTGCTATCAATTTTGCCTCTCTGATTTGTACTATTTATCTAAGTAAGTCACCAGGGTAATCAGTCGGAATAGAGCCGTTTCATGAACAAAGCAATACCTTAAAGTTTAGACAGGAGGTTCATGATCTGTCTGCGGTTTGCATAAGAAAATAGAGATTTTTGTAAATATATCACAGCAACCTTGTATATTGCATTTGTTTACCAATGTGTTAAATGTCATAGAGATTCATGTCACAAGTGCTGTGTTTTCGATTCATAGCAACAGATGAACTGTAAGCCATAAAAAAACTTACTCAACTTACTATCACAAGCCATAAACATCCTAGACAATAATCCTCACCGCTTCGACTGCGGTTAATATCGACAATAATCCTGTGCTTCTGGACACTTTGAGAAAGAATGAGTCGTTTTTTTCTGAAGACAAACTGCAGGGAAGAAGAGGAGGCAGTCATTTTGCCTGTCAGAGACTGAACAGAGGAGCTGTGGCTGGGAACAGACCTTTAAGTGCTTCCTAAACACCGTGAGAAGGCAGCCGTCCTGCTGTCCGTTACACAAAAGGAGACAAAGACAGAGCGGAGGCTGCAGAGCCACAGCTTGAGCCGACTATCGATTCGTACTAAAAAAACTGAGCGCTTTTCCTACCTGGACAATACAGAGCCAGCTGAGGGGGTGGGGAGGTGGGGGGTGGGTCAAACAATAACCCCTACTTCAGAAGCGGAAGCAGGAGAAAAGATCAGTTTAAAGTGAAACGGAGAGCAGTGGCTCTCTGTTGACCCTTCCAGTCGTCAGGCTGGCGGACGCGGCCATGGCGTTCACCTTTGCGGCCTTCTGCTACATGCTCACCTTGGTGCTGTGCGCTGGCCTCATCTTCATCGTCATATGGCAGGTACGTACCGCCGTGCACTCTGAAACCAACGCACATGCACACGCACAGCCTCCATCATCCCACACGGGCAGACCAACACATCCACCAACACCCCGCACAGGTGACACCAACTAACCAGATGGTTGCCAGACCACATTTAAAATACATGTGGTTTCTCTTCCCCACCTAATTGACCACTCTTTGACCCGCTTACGTGGGAGTCTCTCTGTGGTGTAATTATCTGAAACTCATCTGACCCCTTTTACACTCAGTGAAAAAGCAGATTCCAGCGGGCTCCCGTGTGAAAGTAACCAAAATCACTCCAGACACACGACGATAAACAGTTCCTCAAAGAAATTGTTCAGCCTTCAGCAAACGGCACGCAGCGGGAGAGCGGGGAGGCGGCCATCATAAATCACCTCTGCACTCTGTTAGCCTGTCACATGGCACAGACTCAAGCATCACCAAAGCTCCATGTCTCTCCGTTAACATCCGCTGCATGGTGGCAGGCATAATGCGCGATGCAAAACGCTTCATTATAAATATAAGACTTGAAATGACTAACGTACCGATTGACTAAGTGGGTGAGACTAAATATGAGTCACTCGGTGTGTCTGTGTGTGAAGGGAGACGGCGAGAAGCGCGTGTCTGGCTCTAAACTCGACCATGTGATTGAAACGCTTATCAAACCAGAAATTGGTCCCCCCCGCCCCCCCCACCCCCCCTCCACCTTCCCCTCGTCTGCATCCACCCACGGGTGCAGCACCCCAACTGTATGTGGCTCTCAACCAATCGGAACGCTATTTCCACTGCTAGAGTAACCATGGTGCCCACTGAGGGACTCAACGTGTCGCCATGGAAACTGCATCTGTTTACAACAGTGTGAAAGTCGCTGATGGGGGGATGCATGGGTGCGTGCGAGGGACATTAGCCGGGCGGTTTCTCTCGTGCACGCTCAGGGTTTTTCTGCTCGTGCAATCAATCGTTGTCGAGGCTCACGTCGATAGTTTCTGTGTTATTGCCTCAAATAATTAAAGTGACACTTCGCCTTCCAAAAGCTGAAATGACAAGAAGCGCAGCAGGTGGCCTTTACACTGACAATCATTTGGATTTTTACAGAGCTACTAATCAGGGAATCAGCATGGGAAATGATCCCTTACAGCATGTTGAGGCGTCAGGGTTCTTTTTAACATGCCACGCTGTGCATTAAGGTGCTTTCTTCTCTGCGGATGCCCCAGTTCATTAAAAAATCTGTGCTCCTTTTTTTGTACCATTGTCTTTTTGACATGCACTCAGGAAATATCTGTCTCAATCCATGCAAGAGGCTGAATTCTAAACTTCCTGAGCTCAATTTATAACCTGCAATGACTGCTTTAAAGTAATTGATTATGAATTTGTTTGTGTCCATGAATATTTCATATTTCATTTTATGTCACAAGACGAGGTTGTGATGACCAGGAGACTTTAAACTATACGCTGTATGACTGTTGGGAGCTACGATGCATCGCTTTAAGGATGATGCTCGAATTAAAATATCACCAGTAAATTACCCAGCATGATTGGGCTGCAGCTGAGCAGTATGTACGAACAGTATAGGCCTCCACTCTGAGACAAGACAAGCTTTAAGTCTCATGTGAACATGCATCAGTGGCACACTTATTGCAAGTTTCTCACACGTGTGTTATCTTTCAGATCATTGCATTTGATGAACTCCGCACAGACTTCAAAAACCCCATTGATCAGAGCAATCCAACCAGAGCGGTAAGGAGCCTGCTGTTACTCTTCTTTCATGAATGATCAAACCTTCATATGCTCTCAGAGGAGTCCCTTCTTTTTGCTTTCAAATCGGATGCTGATCCACAAACAAACAGGCTGAGAGCAAAGTAAGGGTTGTGCTCCAGATTAGTTGTTTAATGTTTAAATTCTATCTCATTATCATAAATATCTGAAAAAATTTAAATATAATCTAAAAGGCAGCCATCTTTGAATGGAAATCAAAGTTCCAAGAGTTTACATTTAAGAGTCTCTTTAAGGTTCTTAAGGTTAATCTTTTCTGGCTTCCAGGTCACCGCATTTCCACAAGGATTTATTTGTGTGGTGATTAAACCATCAAATCTCCACACCTTCATCATTGAAAGATGCTCATTTAAATAAATCTGTTGCTTACACAATGAGAAGCTTTCAGCTCATTCTGTATAACAATCAAAAGTCCATTCATGACATTTAACCTGTGGCCTGAAATGAAACCCTTAAGGGGAATAATTAATCCACACAGATACGTCTGTCTTCTCGTCAGTCTGTGTAGTATGTGCTTTTTTTTTGGTCTTCAATGTCAGTCAGACGAGAGAGCCATCATTCATTTAATCGAGTTGACAGCAGCTGTGAATATCTTTTTCACAAGATAGCGACTGTTCTAGCGTTCATGTACACCTTCATCTGAACTGAGGGAGAGCTGAGGAGTGGGAGCGGAAACTGTGAAAACAGACTGTGGGAGTGTGAAGGCATGCCAGCCACAGGAAGTGGACACAATAACTGTACCACCTGTAAAATAAATAAATCACCGGTGAGAGATTGACATTTTTTGAAAGACACAAGCTTCTTGGTGGTGTCAAGGCTACAGTACGTGACTGTCTTACTTCGTTTTGTGAGATGAGAATGTAGACATGCTGTCTAAACTACTGTCATCATGGTACAAGTGCACAGAAGAACATGATCCACCAGGAAGCAGTGCCGCCAGTCCTGAATAAACAGACTGGACAAATAGGAGTGGGACAACAGTCTTTTAAACTAAACAGAATTTCTGATGTTGGCTGAGTGGAGCATGTGTTCACTGAAGTGCTGAGAGGGAAAAAAGGGGCAAAAGTGGTTATTAGAAAGAAATGACAGAGACTAAAGGGAAATGTGTGTTTGGTGTGTTTGCAAATCCGTTTTGTGCTCAAATCCTGATACTGATATTTCGATAAGATTTCAAAACCCTGCGCTCCAATTTTTGGCTCTTTTGTTTTGTTTATTGGAACCATCTCTGCTGGCCCTGATGAATGTCCTCAGTCGTGTGTCTATATTAGACCTGTTCACAGCCAGCTGGATGACCTGACACAAATCAGGGCACCTCAGGGAGGCTAACGGCAATAAAATCTGAGCAGGGCAGCAATTTATAGGTGCAATAACAACACGTAGAATGTACAGCATGTGGCTCGCAGGTACAACTCTGAGCCCCCCTGGATGTCAGTGCTGTTGAAGCCCGACACGGAGCACAAAACCAAGAAAACAGCTGAAATCCAGCGGATGATTCAGTGGAACTTTTTCATTAATTGTCACAATTTCATCCAATTTGTTGAATCAATTTAGGCTTACATACGATAACATTTATGCATTTTGCAGAAGCTGTTACCCAAAGCGACTTGCAAGGATATATAAGAAAATAAAATACATTTTAGAAGGGAATAAACAATTGGGGTACAATAGATTTTTAGGTAGATTAAATGCATTTTGAGCAAAGACAAGAAACAAAAATCAGAATCAGAATCAGAATCAGAATCAGAAAAAATTTAATAATCCCAGAGGGAAATTATTATTATTACAAGATGGGAGGGTTTAATAGGAGCACAAAACGAAAGATTGTATTTTTAGTGATTAGTTTGTTTATATATAGGAATGTCACAAGTGTATAAAAATCACAGCAAATGCCTTCTTATGGCATTTCAATTCACTTTAATGCAGTCCTAATCTAATGAAATATATTAATCACATGCCAAATTAGTCTGATTCATGCAGTCAATAAAAAGCTGCCTGGCCAAGGAAACCAACATGTTTTATTCAAACTTTTGTTATGCTGCAAATGACTCCATCTCATGGGATACCTCAATGCCATACAATTCAGTTAAGTTAAATTAATTTCCACTTAATTGACAAGGTTGATAGTTCAATTAATTTGGTTCCGAAAATATAAAGAGGTGTGGGGGAAATCCTAAGTGAGACCTCCATGGTTGATGTGATAAACGCAGCAGGCAGGTAACACTTGTAAACCCTCTCAATCGTCAACGTGAATGGGAACTCACAGCAAACTGTTCAACGTTACAGGTGCAGATATGTGGTGAAATCTTCAGGATTGTTGTTGATTGTTGTTAACAGATGCCAAAATCCCGTGCTTGTAGCCTCTCTGTTTGCTCATACAGCCTTAATACCAGCTGCAGCCATGTCTCAGTGAAATAAATGACACACCCCCCCTTCATAATCCCACAGAGTCCTCATCTGGACTCTAAGCTCATGTATAATAGCTTCTAATGATCCCCAATTCCCATGACAATCAAAGGAGGAAATGGTTTGAGCGCCCTCCATTTAATTCCAGATCTGCATCCCTGACGTCTCGTCTTCCTGCTCCAGGCACTACCTGGGCTTTGGAGGAAAAACAAAAACAAAAAAAAAAACATGATCAGTTGCTCACATTGCACGCATCCATCCAGCTGTCAAAGTACCAGCAGAAAGGTGTAAGAAATGTACTGCAGAGACAGAAACATTTCTGCAAGCTGTTGCTTAATTGTACGAAACAATTAACAGCACAAATAAATTAAGATGCAGAGTCTTTTGATTGCTGGTTTATCACTTTTATTTCTCTGCTCTATAAACCCAGTGTTGGAAACAGAGCGGTTCAAGTGAATGACCGACGCATATAATTCGTCTCACAATCCAATCAATAAACACCCAGGGAAAACATCACCGTGTGAGGGAAGCTCGTCGATGCCGTGAAAGATTTGTGGTTCTCATTTTAGAGTTCATAATTGAGACTCAGAGCTGTCGGCTTTATGGGACAGACCGTCTGCACGAGTCATTCATTTCTAAATTAATGAATGCAAGTCAGTTTATTACGCTGTTAAAAATATTAATCATGTAGCTTTGTGTTGTATTTATGCAAATAAAATGGATGATTCAACATAAAACCCTTAATAAGAAAAGGAAAAAGAAAACTCTGTTGATGATAAACTTGTATTATCTCTACTTGGAGTTGTTTTTTTTTTACCAGCCAGGATTGTATTGATGGGAATTTCTTTGTGTCCTCTCCACAGAGGGAGAGGATCCTCAACATCGAAAGGATCTGCAACCTGCTTCGCAGAGTGAGTAATGGCTGTTTTTCAGCTTCTGGTGGTGGATGACTAAAGCAGAAGGGGCTTCAGACAGCCGTGACCGTTTGTCTCCTCGACTATTGTGAGGACTGTGACGCACCCTGATTCACATGTACTGCAGCGTTTCCCCACAACCCCCCGCACCTTTCTGTAGACACAACGACAGAGAGGCACTCAAGGTTTTATCGTTTAAAAGAAAAAAGGAAAAGAAAACATCAGAGTGTCATTTTGCTGCTGGTGCTTCTTTGAAAATACATGCGTAGGAAGATGTTCAGTAGCGGTGGGTACCAGAAACAAGCTGAAAATCACAATAGGTACCAGTAAGAGGTATAATTCAGGAGGGAGAGTAGATAAACATGCAATAAATGTGCTTTTTATGGCCTATGTGCAGTATTATCATGGTAAATATGATATAATTTGTGTTTTCTTTCTCGGGTTCACATTGTAAACTGGCATGTTTTTTTTAGATGTTAAACAATGAAATACAAAATAATTAATAGTGTCCATCCAATGTATGAAACCTAAGGGCTCCTGAATTTTAGCTGTTTGAAGCTGCTGTGGAGGTGCCATGAATTTACAGCCAACCATTGCCAAATGACTCAGGAAGGAATGCAATGACATGTAGATTTGTTTGTTTTTCTACAGTCATGCATCATACCCTGATTATCAGACATCCCAGGCTTTTTATTATTTTGTTATATGGAGCTTTGAAATGGCTGTAAATCCTAGAGAAATATTTAATCCAGGAGTGGTGATATACATGTTCAACAAATAATAATCATCAATCAAAACGATGATGAAGTTAACAGTAATCACCTCAAATATGGAAATTAGGTTTGTTTCTTTTTGTGCTATCATTGGCTTAAATGTGGAATCTTTCATGCTTTTAACCCAACCCTTAAAAGTGTATTTTATTGCTTCTTTCTGCCGGTTTTCTGGCCTTAACTTTTCAAATTTAAATGCATTTTATTCTATCCATGCATGCATTTTACATACCAGCCGAATGTATGTAATGTAGGCTCCTAATGTGTGTGTGTGTGTGTGTGTGTGTGGTGGGGGGGGGGTTGGAGCCAAAGCCAGCTGCGACTGGATGAGAGGCGGGTGCTGCCGGGACAGGTCGACAGTCCATCACAGGGCCACGCACACGAGACACACAGAAATGCACACTCTCACTCACTCACTGGGTCGGTTTTAGAATCATCAATTAAACCAACAGGCGTGTTTTGGACAGTGGGAGGAAGCATGCTTTCACAGAGAAAAAGATAATCACTGGGGTAGAAACAGGCAGGATCGTTTTTAGTTGGTCCCAATTTGCAGCTCTTCTCCAGGTGTCAAGAAATCTCATTCTTCACTTTGTTAGGTGGGGTATATATGAATGTTTTGTGTTTAAAACACACTTATTATTCCCTTTAACTGAAAAAATTGATCAATAGAATTTGTCCCATCATTACTGTTGTGGTTTTGCAGCCTTCGTAAAACTTGTCTGGCTTGGGCACACAATGCTTCATAATTGCAAAAGAAAAAAATAATCCTGAAGTGTGTTTACTTCTGGGGAGGCCACGCAAAATGGCTGCAAATCAACAAAGTGAAATACAGAAATGATGAAAGCCTCTAACCCCGAAAAGTCTGCAGATCATGTATGACACAATCCTTGTGTTTGTCCTGATTAGTTGGTGGTCCCGGAGTACTCCATCCACGGGCTCTTCTGCCTGATGTTCATGTGCGCTGGAGAATGGGTCACACTTGGCCTAAATATCCCGCTACTCCTCTACCATCTGTGGAGGTACGGTCCCCTAACAGATGTCCGACTACAACGTGTTGTTGATCTTGAGCCAAATCCCTGGCTTTTTCAGGTTTTTTCATCGGCCAGCTGACGGATCAGAGGTGATGTACGATCCTGTCAGCGTGATGAATGCCGACATCCTCAACTACTGTCAGAAGGAGTCCTGGTGTAAGATGGGCTTTTATTTGGTCTCTTTCTTCTATTATCTCTATAGGTGAGTAAAACCTTCACAGCTGTTTCCGATTACTCCTTTCATTACAGCCTTTTTGATACTTTTCAGAGTTGTTGTGCTGTTGTGGGAATTTCACAATGACTACTTTATCCATATTTCCTGTTGTAGTATGGTCCTCGCCCTGGTGAGCTTCTAATAACTTCTAACTTCTGAAGACATGAAACAAAGGATCATAAAGAAAGACAAAGAAACGACCAAATGGAGAAAAACTTTTCTCATCTCCTTGCACCCTTATTTTCTCTAGCTTTGGTTTTTGGCGTCTCACTTGGACAAATTAAGACCAATCAGAGTGAATGTGAGTGTGATGGTCTTGCCTGGGCATTTCATCCTATATACTGCTGTTGGACATTTGGACAGAGTTTCAAAGAACTGAAAATAAACAAAATGAGGATGCTGGTTGAGATGCCTTTGACCTATTGTACAACTAAACAATACTTCTGAAGGGCTGGATTTTCCCCTTGCTGCTCTTACTGATCCAGTCACTCAACTCACTGTGAATCTCCAAACACTTCGGGGCTGGAAAAGAAAATGTGCATTCATTGATTTTGAAAAAAAAAAAAAAAGTATTAAAAGCAGGCTTATTTAGGTGTTATTCTGTGTATTTCAGGCACCTTAAACAACAAACCATCAACCATTCAGATTGTGTTACAGGTGCATTTAAATGAAAGGAAACTGTCATGTTAGAAATACAGAAGGCCTGGCAAAGACACGGTGAGCCGCACAGACACTTTTAGGCAGAATGGTGATGAAACAAAGACCAACACTTGCCAGCCTCCACAAAAAATAGAGACAATTCTGAACCTTAAAAGCAAAATCTAGCTACAAAAGATGAATCCGTCTGTAAGGGTCAATGCTTTCATTGTTCATTCGAAACAGGTATATCTGTAGCTGTAAGGACATATTTACTGCTTCAAGCTAGATTAGTTTAATGTTTTCATAATGGGTTTACTGCTCCAATACTGATGCCAAAACTTCATCGCTGAGCACTGTGCCAAATCTAAAAAGCTAAAAGTTGATGAGCATCTGATGAATACGTTTATTCATTTTGGCATTATATATATATATATACTTTTTTTTTTGGTTTGCTTTAAAAGGAATTGTCGGAGAGGCTGGTTCAGTTGTATAATCAGTGTGCAGGAAGAGCCTTATTCCTTTTTCAAGTGACGTTTACTCTTACTAATCTGCATCTATACTATAGTCATTTTAGCAAAGCAGCTTTCCTCTGATCTGAAGTAGAATAGAGTTCTCATGTACAAAAAGCAATCAACAGAAAACTAGCAATGTTACATGATTTACAACACATATTGATGGTGTGTTATTCAGTGTTTATAATGCCATTTAGTGGGATACAAGACACAAGAGGAGACAATGATGACTCTTTGACGATGTTTCAGTCATTTCAGGAGTGTGAAAAATGTAGACGAGTCAACTCCATACTTCTACAATCATGTTGATTCAGAGGCTGCAGATGACGGAGAATGAGGTTTCTGGCGACCAGCAAAGCCTTTCCTCAGCTGGCGCTGTTTCTCCCGACATGTGTTCATTAGTTCGATGTATTTGTAGGTGTGAAGGTTGAAATGTGGGACTTCCGTTTGGAAAACAGTAACTCCAGTAGCCTGAGAACGAACTGTGATGTTTGTGTCATTAGCCAGCTCCATATTTGGGAAACCGGAACAGTAAAAAAAAAAAACGTCTGCCAGCACAACAGACTGAAGAAGGTTCTGATTCAGATTTCTATCCTATAGCTAAACTTCACAACTTCACAACTAAAGGTGAACTATCACATTGTTATCTTTTCTTAGGACAATGTGTCAGCATGAATTTAGATAATTGTCATTACTATTATGAATGCCGATGGCAGCATTTTACAATTTAGTCCATTAGTTGTAAAAGCATCATCAATGCAGTATAACCTTCAATGGTTTCCTCTGAAGTGCTTCAAGGTGCAGGAGGAAAACGGGGCTCACACCAGCGTAGATGGTGTGTTACCCACAGTACGTTCAATTTAACAACCCAAACTTGCTCAATATCAACATGTGACAACTTATTTTTTCACTTCCTGCTTATAGGATTTGAGAAAACCTTACAAAACACAGTACCTTCACCTGGTTAGACTTCAAAACAACTTGCTAATAGAATAATTGGATTGAGTCTTTCTGTATTTAGGGCATTTGGTGGAAAGAGCAAAGATCTCTCCACCAAAATAAAAAGTTCCGGAGCAAAAACAGAAAAAATTATATCCTCTGCGAGGGTAACTTCACAGCAGTTAGGGTCGTGTCAATGTGGCATCACCAGAGGAACGGAGGCCTATAATGTCAGACACAATCCATGTCATGAGACAAGGCTGCTTGATTTGAGAGCAGCTTTCAAAGGCTCTTACTGTTTCTGAAGAGAAAGTAGGCAGAACATGTTGTGCCAAATGATGTTCACACAGAGCAATCACAGAAACTTCAAAACTCTGCCAACAATGTGAGAGCGTTGAGTCTGGACAATCACTATCAAAAGCACAGGAACCCGAGGAAAGGAGAGGAACAAAAAACTACGATGAATGTCAATATCGTCGCTCTAAATAAGGCGTTTTGAAAACAAAAAAGTTTACTGTATCTATTTGTATCTGTCTTTTATACATTTCTCATCAATATATGCTACAGCAAACTTTGTGGATTACTTATCTATTAGGTTCCATTATGATGTGCAGCTATTTATTTGCCGTATTCTAATAAAAGATGTAATGCCAAAACATTTGGGTGAATGGTTCTCATTTCAGGGTCTGTGCAGATGTGGTGGTCTGCCAACACCACTGTTGTTTTCGAGGAGAAATACATAACTCTGGGGCATGCTGAGGGGAATTCATGAGAACACCGGGCGGTGCATTAGTTGGGGAGCGGAGGGCGAACTGCCACATTTGAAAGCTGTCGAAGCTAACAGCTGCATTTGGAAGTGTTTTTCAGAGACATTCACATACAAGCCCTCGAAATGCACCAGAATAACCATGAAAATGCCCCACAGAGGTGGAAAGTGCTTCTACTTGAGAGGCAGCAAAATCAGGATGGAAGCTCTTCAGCTTTTTTAAATTACAGAGCCCTGGAGGCCTGGGAGATTGTCTCATGAAACCAAGCAAAGAGAATTAATTTTCACATAAATACTTTACTGATATAAATGTCACTTTAGTTGGAAAGTTTTCCTGTTGTGGTTGCAAAGAAATAATAGAAATGTCTGTGTTAAAAGCAGCTTAGGGACTCATTCGGTGGTCTGTAAGGTTTGCCACTGTCTAAACAGTGATTCAGACAGAAAACAGAGACAACACGGCTTCGAGCTGGCGTTTTCCCTCTGTTTGAAGAGGCCAAATCACTCCCCGCGGTCACCATGGAAACTAAATTGTATTAGAAATTCCTGTTGACTCACTGTGAGGCTCTCACTCAAAGCAGAAAAATGCCCATGCCTCGCAGCTCTGCTTTCCTGTTCAACACAATGCGTTTAAAAAAAAAATTCGGCAACATCCACAGCTGACAAAACGTGTAAGTAGTCATGACAACCTGAAGCTGAACGCAAGACTTGTTCTGACACACAAGCACAAGCACCAGGTTCTCTCCACTCCGTCTCGCACCCATCACCCTGGACGCTTCCTTTATCCATCACCCTCCACCACATAAATAGTCTCAACTCCAGTCCCCTTTCCACTGCATCTGTGCTCTCATGGAGACATGTTACCATGGAAACTAGCTACAACTGATGGGCTTGAAACGTCACGATTGGCATGCACAGTTGGCCACTCACATAAGCTGGTGCATGAACACGCACACACACACACACGCACACACACACAAACTGTGCTCATTCATTATTATGCAAGACAATGGTTTGTTGCACTTACCTCTGTCTGTAAGGAGAGGCTTACAGATGGAAAACATGCTGACATCTTCCTTGTTAAGGCTGTGCACAGTTTTTTTATAAAGATGCAAAGTTTCATGTTTCATTGGTAGAGTACCACAACAATACCTGTTCGATTGGTTTACGGATTGAGCCTCGTCTTTATTATGACTGCACTCTTGCCAAACAGCAAAATCAATTAGGTTGGATGGTTCAATACACAGATTCTTGGCATCCTTTATATCCGTTACATAAAGGGAGAGAGGAATAACCCCTACACTGAATAAAACATATCAATAATTTCTGTAGATGCATCTCTCAGAATCAGGAGGAGCAGATGTGTTGCCTTTACAGTGCCTCTTCGAGTCCAATAATGTGTCAAACCTGTTCACACTTATGTTTTTATTCAGAGAGTGGATAGTTTGCCCAGACAGAGGCATGACTCACGCTGACTGTCAGCTGCCATCGTATTTATTTTAATACCCATCGCTTTCTCTGTGACCGAAAGCTGCCTTCGTTTTTTTTTCATATAACGCTTTTATTTCTGGTACAAAAGAAAAAGAGAAAGCTCTTTTTTTATGGTGCTTTTTACAGAATAATCATGGATAACTGGCACTTTATCTAAAAATCACAGCTCCTGATTTGTAGCCACATCATTCCTGGGGCATCCCTCAGTTACAATAACCTTGGCAGTTATACAGGTATGCCTGTATTTAATTTAAAGATTAAATTATTAGCCAAGATTAAAGAAAACTTGCTACGGCCCTAAAGTTTTTTTCTGCCCACTCTGTCCAGTTGGTAATGACCCTTGCCGTTAATTTCTGTTCGGGTGATTCTCTAATTCTGATGGTAGTGATGGTTTAAAGTTGAAATCTTATTGTATTTCATTAATAACACAACTTTTCACTGTAAACCCATCATTATGAGATGATTATATTTTTCACAAAAGACTAAATTCAACCCTTAGTATGAATCACTGTAATCTAGAAATAATTTCAAATGGAAAAACAAACAAAAGAAAAGTAAGGCCAAATGTGCACCCACATTTCCATACATACAAAAGCGAAAAGCTCTGAAACCTGAGTTATAACTCAGCATGAATCCCCTCAACATGTAGTCATTTGTGGCATTATATAAAGCCATTTCTAATTAGCACTTTGCATATGAAAAACAACAGAAAATAGCTTGCGTAGGCGAGGCCAGAGGCCAACTATGCTGCAAATGGGCTTAAAAGGTGAAAAATGAAGGCGTGCATCGGCAGAGTGCTCTTCTGTCTGTATGAACACACCTGACTGGATGAGAAACACATCATTTTCAGAATGAATGCAAGGTGAGTTAAATTTGAAAAGGAGCAAACATTTTTTGAATATTTTGTGGCACCTGTAAATAGAGAAGAGGTGTTTAATCGATAAGAAACTTAAAAAAGAACCGTCTCCAGAGCTATCAGGGCAAATCGAACCCGTTGCCATGGATGTTTTACCACAAAGTCAGCATCTACTCTGATAAGAAGCATCACAATGAATGTGAATCTAATTCTTTCAGAGTCCTTTTAACAGCATCTGTTAGTTCTACTAATATAGACCATATACTTTTTGTCCCCTCTGAGTAATTTAGAGATGAGTGGATCTGGAGACGAGGCTTGGCAGAAAAGCCTTCAGGCTCTGTGAACATCTGCCATTAAGGCTTGTGCATTCGAGAGCAAATCCATTCAAACAAGATGATGATAAAAGGTTGGAAAAGGTTATTAAAAAGTGACACAGCCATTAGCTGCCAACTCTAAAGCGTGAGGATGGCAGCTAATAGCTCATAATCACTCCCATTTCTCAGCTATTTGAGAAATCGTTGCAAAATGCCCGAAGAATGCCAATTTTAGAAGAAACAACACAAAACGACAAAGTGATGCAAATTCTACAACAATCTTTTTTATTGACAAACGCACTGACATTTACAGACCCATTTCATTACTTATTTTTTTTCCATCAGTAGCTTTGTCCAGAGTTTACAAAACAGAGATGTGGTGATAAATGACTACAGGATTAGAAACAGTAATCGGGGCTCTTAAAAACTGTGATCTCATGTTGCCAAATCCCAGCAGCGGCACAATGAGCACTTGAGGTCTGAGGTACAAGACATTTCCATTTCAGGTGAGTGTAAATCCGCTCCGGTTCTCCTTCAGTAGATGTATGGGAAGATCCTGTAGGGGACGCGGCGACAGTAAGTGTCCCAGGCGAGGCCATATTTGGCCCTGCATTGTCTCTCGTCGCGGGCCTCCCGGTGAATCAGCAAGACGGTGAAGTAAATGACATAGAAGTACGGCAGAATATGCAAGAATCCTAAAGAATGAAGAAAGAGACGTCAAAATGACCGGAAAACATTCGATTAGAAAGCAGAAACTCAGACCGTCTTTTATGACTGACATCCGCATGGATGATCTTCACCACATCAAACAAGCTGTAATCAAGTGTTCAACCTCCTCCTGCAAACAGCTGAACCATTTTCCTTTCAGTTTGCATTGTGCAAAAAAGCCTTGTGGTGAATAGCTCTTTGATTATGCTGATAATTTTCAGGGTTGATTCATCTTTTTGAGACGGCGCTGATGGCCGTTGTTCGGCCGTCATTTCTCCTTCGGTCTTTGTCAGCGCAGCTTTGCTCCGTCTGGAAAATGCCGCTGTGAGTGGTTTTAATTATTTCATGTGTGCACAATTTACAAGTGTGTGACATCCGAAGCGGCAATTAAGGCAGGCAGCACATTAAACACTATCTGGGTTAGAAAAGCAACGGCGCACAGTGAATCACTAAATGAGTACAAAATTCAATCATAAAACTATAGACAAAGTTTGAACTAATTATTGTGTTTTTTGCTCTCATATTTAGACGGACACTAACAATCTTTTTTTCATCCTGATTGAGCAGGAGTGGACTGAGTGTCTATTTCTGGGAGAAATTACACTGGCTGAATTGAACCTAATCAGATATAAGACTTGGTAGGGAAGTTTAAAGACACAAAATGACCCTTTTAAGGAGTTAAATCTTCAGCTTTGACTGTGAGTTGTAATAAAATAATCAATATGCAATAAAGTGGGTTTGAATGAGCTTAAAGGCACACTTTGAAGGAAAAAAAATGGGGAGCTGAGCATTGTTAAGCAAACAAAAATCTACTCCATGAAACAAGAAGAGAAGCACTGCTCACCCTAAAAAGTACAATAAAATACATCTATTGGAAAGAGGAGTTCAGGACATGAAACAGTGTACGCCACATACGATGAAAACCTTTAAAAACAACAGTTCAAAGTGGTGAAGAGGGTTTTGGTTCCCAACGCTCTGCAGGGTCGAGCCCATAAAGCGTGCTTTTGACGTTCAACTAGGCTTTGGGGACGGGGGGATTTGTGAGCCGTCAGTCACTCGGCCGCGTCGTTCACCATCAAAAGAGATGAAAACAGGCTTAAGCACATGCAACCCTGGCCTTGAGTGAGAATCACAATGACCTACATGAGAAGAGTAAAGAGCACAAGGGGATTCATGAGACGGCCTCGCTATCCTCTGTGCCCCGTTTCATCTGGAAATTCATCACCCCGACCTACAGCCTCTTTTCTCCACACAGAGAGAAGTGACCTGTGTTTAGTTCATCTTCTTTTGAAGAAGTTCCTACTTGAGTCCCTTTTTGTAAGGTGGTGCTTAACCTGTGTAATAGAAACCAGTCGTGTGCAGACTGAGTAGGAGCTGCTTTTTTTCTAAGAGCAAGACTTTGTCTCTTGCAGGTAATTATGATATGTTTAACCTAACTAACATATAAATTATTATCATAAGTATTTCTTTAAAAAAATAAAGTTTACATTTAAAAAGATTCATTTTAATGATAATTATAGCTGCATACTATTTTGTACATGTTTTAGTGCTTTGGGCACCAATTGGTGATGCATTCAATAAAAAATGATTTTGTTAAGTGGGTCAGGCCTGGTTGTAAAACGAAGCAGGCGGGGGGGCTTTTAAGCTGTCTTACCACACGGCAGGGACCAGGCCAGGGCCATGAGGAGGTCGCCGAGGTAATTGGGATGACGAACCAGACCCCACCAGCCAGACACCAGCAGCCGCTTCCCTGTTGCTGTGGCAATGGTCTCCAGTCCTGTCAGGAGTCCAGCAGAAAGTGGAGACTCGACACGTCAATGTGAAGATGTGCGTTTTTTAAGATGATGGTTGTGAAAAGATAGAACACAAATAACCGACCTGCCACGCTCGGATGAGTCGGGTCTCGTCTGAACTGGTTCTTCTGGGAGTTGGATTTTCTGAAAATGTAGTATCCGACACCTGACGGAAAACGTGGTTATAAGGATGTGAGCCCTAAACACGTCATAATTCAGGCTAATGTCAGAGATATTCACCGTTCAGTACGATAATAGCTGCGGCTTTGAGTGCAGTTAGAGCCTGTGGGTGCGTAACCAGGAAGGTGGCCTGCAGGCCGTAGGTGAAGGGGACCCAGGCCAGGTCCCCGAACACCAGCATGAACCCAAAACCGTCGTGCACGATGTCCATGGTGGTCAGAACGGCCTCCTGGGGGCACCGAATGAAGGACAATGGGATCGTTGAAATGTCAAAGTTGTGTATTTCTTATCTCTGTACTGGGCTGGCAGGGGCTGGTTTACCTCATTCCACAGGGCGTCTGCCACATACAGCAGCTGGAAACTGTTGACCAGGATCATGGCGAGGGAGGGCGAGCCTCGAAGCTCCACCTCCTTCATCAGCATTCCCAGGTTTATGACCACCTGAGGGGAAGGGGATATTAATGAACAGTAATAACAGTAATAATGGACAGTGCTCCTCTGCACATCTTACAAAGCCCCTCAGATTGACTGAAATTAAACATAAGATGAAAAACGAAAATCCTGATGCTTATGAATGTCCAACCACTAATTACAATGATCGATTAGAAAACTTACTGGCCGAGTCATTGTTTTGTCCACTACGTCTCTGTAAACTATGACTGTGGACCTTCCTATTCTCCAAAAACCCACACTGACACTGATATTTCCACTTAAAATGAAAAATTATTAGAAAAACTGACATGAGCCTCTGAATCTTTTGGCATAGAAGATTCATCAATCTGTGGCGTCCAAGTGAAGAATTATTTATACAGAAAGAAAGACAATATAAAGAATATATCATGTGAAAACTCTGTATGTTAGTGGTTTTAAGACTGAACAGGAAGTGAAAATATCCCACACGTTGTCTGCAGCCAGTTGGTGGAAGCTTTTTTTGGGCTCTCCTACGCAGAAGGCTTCAAAACATTCAAATGCACAAAGGTTTGCTGGGCATGCTGTAAACACAGGGGAGGAATAAACCTCAACATTTTCCAAAATGATTCAATCCCCAACTGTTTCCACGTTATTATGAATTGTACGAATAATAAAAGTTGTAATGAGAGGAAATGTAATCTGTAATTCTGTGTGGGAAGTCCACATTTCGTCTAATTCTTTCAGATGACTGATCCAGATAATGATGGACACCACTTCCCCCTGAGAAATGCATCATTAGGCCAGGTAATCATGGAGGAAAAAGCTTCTAATTCAAGGTGTTTCAAAATCACGATGTAAATGATTCTGGGGTAAAAAAAAATAGTGGAGGGCAACTCTGCCCCCATGTGGTCTACTTGGGTTATTTAATTCCGACTTTACTGATGCATCTAAATAAATTAGAGCTCTGTCCACTCTCAAATATGCTACGACATATTAATTAGCTTCAAACATGAGAGCCTGCCTCACTCTTTCTGGAGCCTGATATGCCGCTTTGCTTTGCATTTCCTTGGTTCAACTCACCCAGCCGATCAGACCAGGTCTGAGCTCACAGAAGTATTTCAGGTCAAAACTTCCAATTCGGGGGTTTAGCTCACGTCCAATGAAGAAATCATACAGTGGATTTCCTACAACAAAAAGAGCAATATTTGAATCAACCCACTGAACAGCATAAATCTATTTAACTATGGCTACATGTAACGCTTGGTGTGTACGTAAAGATGTTACCAACAGTTTATTAAGACTGTGTACTTATGTATGTTAGACTGTAGCTGTAATTTATGTAAATGATGATGACTAAGAGTCACGACGCCTAAGAAGCCTTAGGTGAACTAAAGCTCCTGAGTTTTCTATGTTTTTATTTTACATAAATAAGTATAACTGAGGAGCTTTGAGCTTGGAGCTGAATGTTCACCATTCAAGATGTGTTCACAGCCACAAGGCTCTCACTGGTCAAATATGTCTACTGTTTTCCCGATAATTACATAGAAATATAATCTAAACTTAAGATATATCACCAATAGTTTATTTTTTCTTTCCACAAACACAGAATATGAATCATAACACTGGATGGACTCTGCTTATAGATGCAGGAGAGCACAGCGGAGCAGGTAGGCCTACAGCTGGGTATTGACCCAGAGGAATGTCCAAATCCTCCTCGTACAAACAGGCCCATTAATGACCGGTACACTGCCGGTGGATGTTTTTAAAAAAAGGGTTTAAGTGTTGATGTCTTTCACCTGTGTTTCCGCCCAGGGCCAGCGCATGGGGAGGGGCCCAAAAGGAGCGCACGTAGAGGTAAACGGAGAGCAGGAAGGACACCGCTATGGCGGCCGCTGCTAGAGGCAAGAGCAGCTCAAACACATCCCCCAAAGGAGCTCCCAGCAGCAGCAGCAGCATCAGTAACACGCCGCTGGTGCACAGGCTGTGAAAACCTAACAAACACGGATAAATAATAAATACGTGCAAACTGACGCGGGCTCGTATGAGGCAGAGATTTAGAAGACTGTAACTCAAGCAGGTGAATGTGACTCTAAAATGTGTAATACTTTAGAAAAACTGTGGGAAATGACAGAGAGTGCTATAGGAGAATAATATATTTCATATCTGGATTTCAACCAGAATTTAATCTTAACAAGTGCAGAGAAATGAGAAATGACTGAACATAAAATAAACATGACAAGCGTTTGCTGTTGAAAAGCAATAAAGCTCAGGTTTACCAAAGCAAAAACCCAACAATACCATTTATGGGATACTTGAGGCGTGTTCCATCCCTCAGCACTAATCCTTCAGACACCTGCAGACAAATACGCGCACTATCAGTCCAACAGAAGCTACAATAAATCATGTCATTCCTCTTAATCAAGAATAAAAGGAAATATCGTAGGGTCAGTCGAAGCAGGAATGACTAATTGTTGGCTCATTTAGCGGGAGGTGATGGAGCATATTTCATACAATTTCTGCTTAAAAATTAAAGCTGACTAAAAATTAAATGACCAAGGTAATTTAATAACCACCAAGCTCATCAATCCATCCATCCATTTTCTAAACCGACTACCCCTAGTAGGGCCTGTCTGAGCTGTCATTCAGGACGAGGCGGGCTCCACCCTGGACAGGTCAGCAGTCCATCACAGGGCCACTAACAGACGAACAACCACACACACTCACTCACATTCACTCATATGGGCAGGTTAGAATCATCAAACAACTTCACGTCCATATTTTTGGATGACAGGTGGGTCCACCGTCTTATTCTAAAGAAATGATCTTCCTTATCGATTCTAAATGACTCAAGTAGTTTTACACTTCCAGCTAATTCTGAACGGTGAGATTGAATGCCACATCGTCATACCTCTCCGAACGGCATCAAATAGAGCACGCCGTGCAAAGCGATCCATCCCAGCAGGAGCCAGAGGGCCCGGGGGTCCCACAGCTGATGGGCAGGGGGGAGGAGGGGGGGCCACTGAAGCACGCTGGCCTCAGGAGACTGACTCACACAGACCAGGAAGAGCACCGTCAGAGGAAGAAAGATGGGAATGCACACGGCGCCTGACAGAAGGGAGCAGATAAAAGTCACACACACGGCAGTGTGTTTGGCTGTGCGGCTTAACTGCTGCCGCTTTGTAGGGCCCAAAAGCACAGAAGATATAAAAGAAGCAAACAGTTATGGAATAGGCCCGTCCAGTGAGACTCTGGAAGATGGATGGTGCTGAAACATGCTATGCACTATTAAAATATCTCAAACAACTTCGACTTCACTTTAAAAAAAAATTCAATCATTTAAACTGCACTCTCGGACTTTTAAGATCCACCGAACAAGCTGCAGATCTGTGCAATTTCATAAAATCATCTAGTCTCTTTAATGGTTTCTTTGTAATCTTCTTTGTGATTTAATTAATTGACAATAGCACAATTTAGATGTAGAGAAATATGAGTTATAACGCAGTAACTGCTCTCAAACATACATCCATGTGAAAAATACATTTATCCCAGCTGAAGAACCCACCCAGATCATCAGCCCTCCACCCCCGTGCTCAAAGCTGGTACGAGCTAATTGGGCCTATATGCTGTGTTTGTTTTCCTCCAAATGTGTTTCTGACAAGGCTTTGAATTATTTCCTGCTTTGCTTTGTGTTAACGCACACCTGAAAGTTGCCGGATAGCAGCACATCAAACCCTCTGCTTTTATAAAGGCGCGCACACTGACTGATATTGGGGGATTTGATTGAACAGCTGTGGGCAGCCTCTTACCTTCCAGTGAAAGCAGCATGGGTGGAAGTATTATTTATTCAACATAAACTAACACAGAACCACTGTGTGGAAAAAACATGGTATTATTTAAATCCTAATACATTAATGTTTAATTCTGAAGTGAGTGTAGTGAAGCAGGAGTTTTCGTAATAAAACATTTAGTTTAAAGCAAACTGTGCTCTGTGTTGCAGAGGTGAACGTGTCCATGGTCCACACAGCTCACTCACCCAGAGTTCCTCCAAACTCTCTCTCCGTGTCGTGGGACAGTCTGTGCTTCTGCGCTTTGTTTGCACTCATTTTTGCTCTCCTGTTGAAGGTCTGGGGATAGATAACACAAATAGAATTATCTTAAGAACAAAAAACAAACAAGTACCTGTAACAAATATGAGCAATATATATGACAAGAGGGTGTTAGAGAGCTGGATTATTTTAATATACTTTGATCCTTCTTCTTTAATGAAACCTGCTCTTAGTCAAGTTGAAATCGACTTGTGATTGTATCACTAAGTTTTAGAGAATTGATCTATGAGTCACATGTAGATGAAAACTGGGAGTTCATATGATAAAATATAAGCTCAAATAATATTGTATGATATAATAAAATATTATAGCTTTGTCTGACACAACGATTTAATCTAATATGGTGAATTTGGTTTTGGAATTGTTGTTTTTTAAATTAATGATCTAAACTAACTAAATTAAATTGAACTAACTTCTTGTTACCTCTTCCATTCAACCTGCTTATAAAGTATCTGAAGAAATGACAGCATTCTATACTTTCTCACATATATCATTTTGTATTTGTGTTAAATCTCCTGGTGTGAACAATCTGAGGGGTTCCTTCTTCCACAGAGAAACTCCTGACAGTTGGAACTACTAACTAACATCCAACAGAAATATAAACACAGTTATTACCGGTAATTACAAATACGCCCAAAAGTGAGTTGCTATTCTTACACATGTGTATTTTTCTAATTTCATTCAATTTCCTGTGAGGCAGGTTACTTTGAACGAGGGCTGGACCGTTACAAACTCTGCTGGAAACCACAAAGTTGGGGTTAAAGGGCGATCAGTTGCTGAAAGTTAATATTTCTATTATGCAATCAAACGGAGAGACCGTCCAGTCCATGGCAGGGAAATCATCTGAGCGCGTGTTTAAGTCGAGGATTTCCAGAGAAAACGCAGAAAAACTCAAAGAGAGCGAGGCTTTCGGTAGGTGTCTGGGGCTACTCACCGGGCTGGAGTTTGGATCTGGGACTGTGGACATCAGAGAGCCTCCTCTGCGTCCATCTCGCGGCCAGGACACGGAAACGCCCCCGACACATGGGGTTTTTCAGTACGAAACAGTCCGCCAGCCAATCAGAGCCGCCCGCGGTCATCAGAAGAGGGTGGGCGGTAAAGGCGTCAGCCAATCAGAATCGCTCCTCTGGTGGCGTCAGTCTGGAGCTGTCGATCCGACCGGAAGCGACATGGCAGAGGTTGTGAAAAATATTTAAAACCTATTTAGTATTTTTATGTGGCACAATTCAGTCAAATTCCACACGACGGCCCTTGTAGTTTTGTTTGATGTTTGTTTTTGACAGCAATAACACACCATTTGAATCCAGTTTTCATTCAGTTTTTATTGAAGACAGACATTTAAACCAAACCCTGAATTTGTTAAAAATTTGGAAACAAATGCATCAATTCTGCTGATGGCATGGTGTGCTACAGTTAGTGTTCGGTTACAATCGCAGAAATGGAACAATTATTATGCTGATAAACATCCGACAGGGATTTATTAATGCAAGTTTTCACAGAACAGAGGCTTTGTATATATTATCATTGATAGTCCCTATTTACATTGAACGCTTTCCTTCCAGTGGAGCATGTCCCACAAGCCTCTGTGCCTTAATGGATAATTCATGTTGTCTATTTTCCAAACAGAGATCATTACACGATTGTTTTTCTCTCAAATATTCATGCTTTATCAACCAGGGCTATGAGATTACAAGTAGCACAATTATGGTAAACAGAGGCAAAGACTTGCAATGTAAATGCAGAGATGCTGTAAGTGTACGGTCAGTCATTTCCGACAATAAAGATTTATTTACAAAGCTTAAGCTAATATTTCACTTTTTTTTTTTATGAGCACGTTTGGACGAACTTCTCTACTTGCAGTGATTCCAGTGAATGATGTGACGCCATCTGCGTGAGCTGCTCTGTGGGCCTTAGCCCCTTTCGCATATGACCTCGATCACGCTCTGCTCCATTGGCGCCGGGTCCAGGCAACGGTGGGCACAGCTGCCCACGATCTCGTCCAGGAGGAAGTGCACCAGGTTCTCGTCGGAAACGAAGCGCCACAGGTACATCTGCAGGTAGTGGCAGTCCACCTGGATCTGCTGCAGCCCGTACCGGCCGAAGGTGCGCAGGCGGACGCACTCCAGGAAGGTCTTTAAGCTGATCTTGATGATTCCTGTCATCACGGAAACCTGGGCCGGAGGGTGAAAAATGTTTTTTTTGGTGTTTTTCTATGGTGCGTGAAGGTGTACTTCTCGGGTAGCCGTGCGGTCACTCACCTTGTTAAACTCCACCGAGCTGAAGATGTCAATCCTTTCAGAGAAGAGCTTGTGTATGTTGCTCAGTAGGTTGGTATCCATGGGAGCACTGCAGTTAGTTAGCAAAGCAAAGGTTAAAAAAAAGGCAAGTAGGTAAATGTCCAGAAGAAAACTAAATGTATTCAGATTACTGATGCCTCCGTTGCAAAGGATAAACAAAATGTGCATTATTTTCCAAAGGTAACAAAGACGTGCTCTGTTCTCCATCGTGTACCTTGGCGTGTAGCTGGCGGCATAGCGCGGTTGTTGCCTGGAGCTGCTGTAGACGGAGAAGGTCCTCTTGCTGGAGTCGCTGCTGTGTGCCTTCCTGACGCCCTCTTCGTACAGGAGACCCACCTGTTGAGTAGGGTCAGATCTGCGGGTCATGGTGGGCAGATAACAGAATAGGCGCCCAGACAGTGCCGCAGTTGGCCGTACCTGCACGTCGATGGAGGTGGTGTCCTCCACCACCCTCTTCATCACGGCACGGACGTTTCGCGGCTCTATGGTGTTGACCCAGTCTCTGGTCTCAACGCTCTTTCGCAGCATTTGAGAAATAATCAGGCCCTGAACCTGGAAAAGCAAAGAGACGCGGTCTGGCACCTGTGGCTGTCTTCACTCTGAGCTGTGCGGCTGCTGGTGGACAGCCTACCTTGACATAGTGGTTGAGCAGTTTCTGCGCGGCCTCCCTGGCCTCTGCACACAAAGTTGTGACCGGTGTTACGGGACTGTGATGCTGGAAAAAGACACAAAAAATAACAAAACAGAACAGAAATGTTTTAATTTTCATTTTCAAATAGCACAAGCAGGATATTTCCACTAAAATATGACATTTAAGTAAAAGCAAATGCGGCGTTTCTCGGTCTAACACCTGCACGAGGAACTGTTCGTCTGTGAGCGTCAGGATGTAGGAGATGGTGGAGGTTTCGTAGTCCAGGCAAAGGCGTGACAGCAGCAGCAGGAGAGCGGGGGGAGTGGAGCCCCCTTTGTCTCCAGCGCTCTCGCAAAACTGACGAGAAGACTGGCACACAAACTTGATGAAGCTCACCACGAGGCTCTCACGCACACCCTGACTGCAGAACTCCCCCTGCCAGGAGAAAAAAAACCTCTGTCACATTCACTGGCAGAAACAGGCCACGTTAAACAGGAGATTTTCAACTAATGTAGAAATTCAGACAAATTTGGGTGCAGTTATTATTAAGTAACTAAAAAAAAGGCACCTTGAAGTACGGCTTGTTGGAGAATGTTATGTCTTTAGCTGTGAAGAGGTGCACTGATGCCAGCACGGACTTAATCTGGTTGAGAATGGAGGCGGACAGGGAGGAGAGCAGCTCGGGCAGGCTGGATGGAGCTTCCCGGCCAGAGGCCATGCCCCCGAGGTGAGCTCCTCCCCCAGCCACCGAGGCTCCGGCCACAGAGAGGCGAGGGGTGGCCAGGGCCTGCCTCACATCCGTCAGGCTGTCCATGTAGAAGCTCTGCAGGGCAGACAGGTACTGCTTCACCCGCTCCATCGCTGCCCGCACCACGATCTCCGTCCCCTTGTTTGGAACGGCTGACCCCGGCAGCAGCTTGGACACTGCCTGGAGTCTGCGGTGGAAGCGATCCAGTGCCCGGACCAGGAGGGAGTTATCGCCAACCCCTTTCTCTTCCTGTATCCGTCTCTCCACCAGGGAGAAGTACCGGGCAGCCAGATCGTCCACAAAGACCTGCAGCTTTCCGTTTGCCATCTGAGGAATATTTTTTGAAGCGAGCTCACCGGACTGAGGATGATTGATGAACAGTTCTTGATAGGATGTAATTACTAAGCATAGGCTGCTAACAAATTCATTGCATCCTCGATCTATGAATTCCAGGATGTCTGTATTCGATGTGGGAGAGGGTAGACAGCTTGTTTTAGGGGACTTATTGGTTGGAGATCCCGAGGCTGCAGTAGAAGAAGACCTGCATGCTGAAGCATCTCTCAGGGCCGAGGCAGCAGGGTACGGTCTGATCTCTGCTTCCAGGCCCAGGAGGTCTGACTCTAGTCGAGACCGGGCGTGGCTCAGGAATTTATCACAGAGCTCCTCTGCCGGCTCGTCCAGCTGCAGGAGCAGCTCCACGCACTCGGACAAATCTTTGGCGCTTGTCCCGCCATCCCTGCAGCCAAAAGAACAGACACAGAGAACAGGTCTGGCAAAGTCCCTTAAAATGGCAAAGATATTTTTTCTTACAAAAGAAAGAAATTCCTACCTGAACTTCTGGCGGAGCTCTTGAGCCAGCTTGTCCATGATGGCGTGACAGTCATCCTGGATTCCCTTGAAGGAGGGCAGGTGACTGTACTGCTGCAGCACACAGCGGGCATGGCGGTGGGAGTTCACCGCCTGAGCATAGGCCTGTAGCTCTAGACACTTATTGAGTCTTGCAGGCAGTTCAAACAAGAACTGAAGCTTCCTCAACAGCGTGTGGACCCCTGAGATGGAAGATGATGACGTAGACATGTAAATGGAACTCTCATGAAAGACTGTTTCAACAAAACAGACGGCCCGTTTGGGTCTCACCTGATAGCTTAGTTATTTGCGTGTGCTGGTCTTGAAGAGTCCCACTGATTCGAGCACTGAAGTCAGTGATCGCCTCCATGTTTGTAGTCAGGCAATCCATTTCATCTTCCATCTTTTTGAAATCATTCTTCATCTTTCTTATAGTGTCTGATCGAAGAGCAGGGACAACGATTAGACATATTTCACCTGTCAGATTCACCGACATATTAATAAAAGTCGGTCGGACGCTCCCATTACCTGTAGCAGATATGAACTTGTTGTAGTTCTCATAGACCAGGGTTTGCATGTCGCTGTCCAAAGCACGGATCTGCTTGACCATGCAGGTCTCCTGGTCCATCAGCTCAGCCAGAGAGCACTCCCTCCTGAGCTGTAACACAGTAAGAAAGTCATGCAATGTTACATAGAAGAAAAGTATATCAGTGTTCTCAAAATTTAACTATATAAATTTAACTATACATGACATCTAAGCTGTTATCTCAGTGTTACATCTCCAGTTGCTGCAAAGTAAGTGAGTTAAAGGACCACAGCCAAAACTGACAGCACCTTGTTCAGATAGTGCTCCGGGTCAAAATGCGGTCCGTTGATGTCACAAGGATCCAGAGACTGAGGCTCCTCCGTTGCCTTTCCCTCTTCGTTCAGCCCATAGTAAAGCTTCAGCATACCGTGCACCCTGCGTCTCTTCCCAGCCTCATCTGGAAGCCCTTCCGTGCCGTCCGGCCCTATGTCCATACTGTAGTTCGGCCAGCAAAGAAAGTTAATTTACCGGCGTATTCACAGATGACAATAAATATACTACCTCAAAACTGTTGATTTATGTTCCAGGGCAAATGATACCTGACTAACTGTGATGTATTCTTCAAATAACAACGGATTCCAGGATAAAATAGGTACAAAAGTGTAATATTTTCGCTAACACACAGGTAGCCTGTTGGAGCAGTGTTGTTTCCGCCTTATTAGCCAATCCAAAGTTACGTCGCCAAAAAGCTTACGTAGTCGTTACTGGTCCGGATGTGCACTACTGCGCATGTCAATAAAGCCAATATTGAGAAAATAAAATGTATTTTCTGTCCGTAACGGTTAAGTTGATATTATTTTTGCATTATCAATCTATCCATACAAATGTATGTTTGTAATATATGTCGTGAAAGACAACTGAGGTAAAGAGGAAACAGTTTTCATTTTATTGATCAAACATTCCAAGTGTAACATTGCAATGCTGCATCACAGACATTTATGTTAAAGGGAAACAATTTTCTATGATTTCTTTTGGTATTGGAAAACAAAAGTATATTTATAAGAAAACCAGGTGTATTCAAAATCATTTCCAATGTAGTGTTATACATCGGCACATTCATTAATAATTTACATACAGACCAGTTTGAAAACATTATAGATTGCATCTGAGGGTTATTATTATAAAGAAAAACATCAATAACAATCAGGTTCTTACTTAATGGGTAACCAAAATACTGACAAAAGGTAAGCTTTTTGTTAAAGAAATCACATGGAAGGTAACATGTTGGTTGAAAGTAGTATGGCTTCCGTATACAGTACTTAGGCTTGAGAGAAGGAAGTGGTGAACACACTGACATATGTTGAAAGAAAAACACATTGCTTTTGTTTATTATACAAAAGGTAAAATACTTTACCTAGTTGATAAAGTGTAATATATATACATACAATAATACACTTTTTAAATTTAGCAACAAGCCAAAAGAAGGCACTTTAATTTTTTCAAAGTGAAAGATAATGTTTAGTTTGACCTTAACTCTTACCTCTCATCTATACAAAGGACAAACATATGAAGATGAAAGTAAAAAGATTCTCTAAAAAAAAAACAATACAAAATAGTCACTTAATGCAAAAGATTTATAAACTGTGGATTAGTATAATTAGTGCAACATCATCTGATGTGTAGTGTTGGAATGCCTATTCTACAATGTGACATGCATAGTGTGTGTTTGCAGCTTTATGTTGGGCTGCTGCACGTTACAGATGGTAGCTGAGATACAATCCGAAGGGTAGAAAAAAGTAAGAACATTCTGTGGTTTGCATGCTGAGGAGAATATGGTAAAATGCATGATGACGCCACATCTGAAAGGAGGACATGTGTTCCAAGAGGAAGGCAGTATTACTGAGATCTGAACCTTCTCTCCCTGCGATTTAGTTCGGTTTGTTCATTTAATACAAACAAAGGGCCGAACCTGCCCACAACAGTGTGATGTCCTGATGAAGGCAGGTCTAAATGTCCCCAAAGGTACCACAATGGGTTCCAGCAGGTTAGATTGGATTGCTTTGGTACGAAGATAGACTTTAACAGCACAGTCATAAAAATGCTCTATGCCATATGCACAAAGCATTTATACAAAGTTCTATGTATTTTTTTAAATCTTTACTCCTTCCGCAAAAACAAACTGAAGCTTACATTATTTCAAAGCCTTGGATATCGTAATCTGTTTATGAGGAAAAAAAATAGATGAATAACATAAAGGAACCATTTAGGGATCCCCTGGGATATTTGAAAAAGTAGAAAAGTTAAAATTATGCAAAGGTATCGTTTCCTGTCACCTTTAAAATGAGGCGGGCCATGACTTCTGACTTGTTTTAATCTGCTAGCCAAAACAAACAGAGAAAAGCTCAGCTTGTTTTCAGGTCTCAAATGCAGAAGTGCCGTGTTGCATCTGTCTTCATTTGCTTTTTAGGTAAGACTGACAAATGATGGCCAAGCATGGATTCATGTCAGCCTGATGTCATTTGTAGCACTTGCGTTGAGGCTGTTGGATTACTTATTTTTCTATTTTATCAACTTTACAGGCACCTTTGCAGAATTTGCAAAAAGTGCTTTGATTGTTTGACAAATGTGTGAATACTTTTTAAACTATGACATTCAATTGTAGCCCTCCTAAGTACATTATGCTTTACTTCTGTTCATTTAAACCTTTTAAACTCTGCCTCTTCACAAATTTACTTAACAAAAGAAGAAAGCATCCAATTCATGATAACCAGTCGTAAATACTAAGTTAAATTAAATGTGTACTTACAAGAAACCTCCGCAACATAGCCAATGAGCTCCCATAACAATGAACACCAGTGTCTCTACTTTTCTTCAGTGGCTTCCCCGTTTTCATGAGAACAAGGCACTGCCAGTTTAAAGAAGCAGAGAAGTGTCGACACACCCTAAGGCTGTGTTCTGAAAGTGCTCGTCATGCTGACTGTGAGGAAGCCGTACAAGAAAGAAAGATTTAACGCGACAATCTCAAAGGTAAATACCCAAGAAACTAAGAAGAAGTAACGCAGTGGTTAGACTCCTTTGAGGTGCAACATGTCTGAAGAAAAGCGCTTTGCAGCAAACGTACAAAATTTCAAAAGCAGAGCTGACTTCTCTAAGGCTTGTCTCAGGTAAAGAGTATGAAATGGACCTCTTTCGTGAGTCTGGAGTCAACCACTGAACAGACACTTCACTTCAACCATCCAAGCAAAGATTTTAGACATTTTGTTTTGTTTTTCACATTACTATATTTTCCTAGTGTACACGGCTTCGGAGGATAAATATATTCACATGTAGATACCTCTCTCTTGGTCCTTTGATGGAGTAGCAGTAAAACATCTAAACTGATACCCTTTTTTTCAAATCTGTGTAAAGTGTTCAGACTTGGTCTTTCTCGGGAAGGAGGCAGCGATGTTAACCTTGCTCCAGGCTCTCGGCCACCTGGACGGCAGAGTAAGTGGGTCCGGACGCCTGCCGGGCGAAGAAGGACGCTGCTCTTTTGGGCTTCAGGCGCTTGATCTCTTTTCCTGAAACACACACACAGCGGTTGTTGCTTCCACAGAGCCTCCACGGGAATCTGCTCTCACTCCACCAACAGAACTCAAGTGGGCTCACCTGTGTCCACGTAGCTGATGGTGTTGAGCGCGTCCACCCGGCTGCACACCACGCTGCCCTGCCGCTGCAGCATCCCGCGCCGGCCCCCGCGGCCGTTTCGGGCGCCGCCTGCTTGCTCGCCGGCCGCTGGGCGGGACGGACTGGCCTCGCCGTCTGCCTCGGCCGCGGCCCCTCCCTCGGACGCAGGCTTCAGCTCCACGCAGAACTCAATGAAGCCGCTCATTAGCTCGGCCTGGTTCACAGGGGGGGAGGGGAAGACGAATTTCTATGACTTTATATAAACAGCAGCTATAATCTGAGCCGTAATCATCCAGGAGGGAGCCGGATGCACGTAGAGGTCATGCTTCCATCCTTGGATTAGAGCCCTGCGCGATTATGATTTACTGCCACCATCATTATGCAACGTCTGCACCATCTGGTGGCTCAAAGAAGGTTTCATAACAACAGGCACAGTAATGTTAAAGATTATATCTGCCACAACTTCTGGCCACAAGACTTTTGTGATTTCATTAGAATGCTTAGATGTTTTTATATCAGGTCAATACAAACTTTTTACGTACTTGTTTTGAGTAGATCTTCAGCAGTTTGTTGACAGGGGTGCCGTCTTCTTCTCCATCAAACTCCAGCCAGAGAATGTGTGGCTCCCCCTCCTCGTCGGGGTAGCTGTGGTCCCAGGAGAGCTCGCTGAAGCGCAGGCCAAGCAGCACATGCTGCGAGCAGACACCACCAATAAGACACGGGATAGAGACAGAGGACTAATGTGTGCGCTGTTCACAGAGCTGCACCCACCTTCTCTTTTACATCCATCACATAAACTCCATCCAAGCAGATCCCCACACTGACGGCTTTGCGTTTTCCCCGTTGGAGGATCCCCTGCGCGGGTTTGTCAATCTCCCCAAAGAAGAAAGCGCACCTGTGTTTTGAAGCATTTGAAGTTTACAGACACCTGAAGAAGTTGATGGGACTTTTTAAAAGCATGCTTAAATAGGTGGTCACCGGCTCCTACCCATAATAAGGCAGAGCGTGGCATGTTTTGAGGTACTGGCGCAGGAGCTGGGTGGGCTCCACAGGGCTGGCAGCAGAGGTGGAGATCTTCCGGTACTCCTCCAGCAGCTTCTGCTCCAGCCCCGCGTGACGGCTCGACTTCCCTCGCAGCGTGGAGAACAAACCTCCACTGCCCATGAGCACGTGTGCAGGCAGGAAGGAGGACAGCTTTTTTTCTCTGTGTTAAAAAAAAAGAGGACAACGGTGTAGTAGTAAATCTATGAGATAAAGTATTCTGAATCTCAGACTACAATGATCAGATTCTCAATAATCAAACAATAAGACTTTGTATCCTCATCTGATTTGAATGCTATTTATACTTAATCCAATTATTTCCCTCTTAATTAGTTGCATATGAACATGCTGCAGTAGTTTTGACCTGTGGGCAGGAAAATTAATCATTTGAAGAAAAAAGAAAGGAGAAATAGCATATAAACCAATGCTTGAGATGAAATCCTTTTAAATGGTCTGCAGTTTGTTGGTATAGCAAGAAGAAAAAGATAATTAATTTATACCAGATCTATTAAACATATAGTAAACCTTTCTTCCTTAGTAATGTTCTAATTAAAGTAGAGGCTTAGCTCCACCACATCGATACACAATGTTGTACGAGTGATTAATGGTCAGAAAGATGGAGAAATAAAGCAGCATCTGGGATTCAGAGCAAAGGTGCCTTTCATTATAATAATCATTATTCACTCACTAGAGATCTGTAACAGTTGAAGGAAGTAATAACACAAACGAAAACCACAAACTAACTTCTCATTAAAACTTAAACCAATGAAAGTTCCTCAAAAATACTTTCTCAAATGAATGACTGTGCCATTTTTAGGCCCCCTGAAACATTGGTGAGCACCTTTCAGCTTTGCTGTTTAATGAGTGTGGCGTTAACGATGCTCCCTGCTGACGACCAAACCTGAAGATGTCTGGACGGCCTTTCCAGAGACAACAGAGACACATCCCATGGCGAAAGTTCTTCCCAGACCTGCTACTTTGTGCTTTTCAAACCGCTAAACTAACTCTTTTAACCCTCGCACACAAAATAAGCAGTTCTGATTTGTTTTTTTTTGTTACCTGAAGGAATTTTCTGCATACAGTCATTTGTGCTCAAACACTTGAAGCAGCTCAATACATCTGATGCCCTTTTAGAAATGTGTGGGTTGAGGTTGTTGCTGCTTTACACGACTTGGATATTTTAAGCACAGAAAGCTGCACTTCCTCTCTCTTGACAAAATAATCAACAGATAACTTCAACATGGCTCCTCATTTTCTACATTCTAACGGAGTCAAAGGCTTTTTGTTTTAATTTATTTAATGTACTGGCTAAACTTTATCAAAACCCAGTACAATTTTTTAAAACTATTCTTCAGCTAAAAAACATCAGCATCAGACTGTAAACAAGAAATTGTTTTAAGGGACGGCCGACTGCATTGTAGGAAATGCTCAGATTGGTATCTTTTCAGGAAATGCCTTGAGAAGACAGACAGCTCTAGAGCGTTGGTAATTCAGAATCTGGAAATGATCCATAAGCATTAAGACAAGAAACAGAGGTAGACCTCAAACTCAGAACCTCAGCAAACCCAAATTTGTGAACTACACCTTTCATATACGTTTAGGAATCAGCAAACCTACCTTACAGCAGCGGTTAATTGTTGGCTTTCCAGAGTAGTTCCCTCATCAACGGCAAGAGACAAGGCTCCAAGACTCATCCAGTGCTCGGGGTCACAGGGGTATCGCCCCGTGAGGATGTTGCTCCTGGCTTCCTCGTACAGAAGCCTCAACACTCCCTCATCCTCAATCTAATCAGGAATGCAACACTTTTAATATTTAACATTCATAAAAACATCTCAGAGGGATTTCCAAGTTGAACTTTTTAAAAATACCTTTTAAAAATAAACAAATAACAGCTAATTTATTAACTTGTGAATAATAAACTGACTTTTTGAGTATTACTTTACAAACATATGGCCTTCTGGGGCTTATGAAATACTGAAACACTGAGCTAAAAAAATAAACCCATTACAGCCCACACAGCTTCTGAGTCACTGACTTCCAGAAACTCAAACCTCTGGTTGTTTGGGACCCTGTCTATGAGAGAAATGCAGGTCTGCAGTGTGTGTAATACCTGCAGCTCTTTCGGTTTGGGATAAAACACGTTGCGTCTGTACTGCAGAAACGGTTCATCTAGGGAAAAACACAAAGCAGAGCAGAGAGGTGATTCGGTGTTCAGTGACTTTAACATCATTCAAACTGGGAGTGGAGGAGTGAGGGCAGAGACAGCTCAAGCCCCATCCAGCCCACTCTGCTCCGACACACACACAGACACACACACTTCTGCACCGTGGGTGGACTCTACTCCACAAAAAGAAAGAAAACTGCATTTAAGTGGTTATACAATACTTCTGTGATACTTTCACTGTTAAGCACTTCAGAAACCAACAAACTCCTGCACCATTAGTCCAACGTCAAAGAAAAGAAGGCACAAGGACACTTACAGATAATACAACAAACTGAAGCAATTCATTATGTATTAAATCTTAGTATTCACAATAACAAACAAATACCATAATAAGAAAAAAAATAGACAGCTTGTTAAAATTCATTGCACTGAAGTCATGAGTTTGCCTAAAAGCTGCTGATCTTTTCCATTTCATCGTGTTTATTTTGTTGCATAACCTCAAACAGCTTTCTCTTCAGTTGGTTGCCATCTTGCCGTTGTTTTGCTTTTTTTTTTACAGGTTTTACGGGTTTATATAATTTCCCCTGTGTGACGAGATCTGGAATGACGGATTAGTGGATTGAAATGTGTTACTGTTATTTCTAAATTCCCTAGTGACCACGGATCATGTATCATTTAGGGATGACTGCTGGCTGATGACGACCTGAGAGCATGAGTGGGCTGTTCAACTCTGACTGGTAAAATAACAGCAGACTCACTGACTCACACCTCCAAACTTCTGTGCTACAAAGTCAACTTTTTTTGGTTTATTTTTGATGGCGTCTCAATTCTGTCCACGCCCAGTTCACAGACAGGTTTTTTTTTTCTCATCATTCTTTGCTACAGAGCTGGGTACAGATCTGGGCACCACACTGCATAACAACACCAGCTCTAATGGCATAGGAACTGTTAGGATGCTGTACAGCACTCTTATATAACAGCATATTCCCCAACAACCCTCTTAATAAGGAAGGAAATGAAAAGGCTCTAATGGATTCCACTTCCCCAAATTGCTTATTTCTTTTAAACATGTCACTTAAACATGATAAGTTATTTCTTATTTTGCATTAGGTGAAATATTAAAAGCCCAAAGATAGACCAGAAGTTTGACAAGATAAAAATCCTTCATCAGTCCCTTCTCTTGCAGCTGTGTGATTTTTTTACTCTTATGTAATTTGTTCGGTTCGACCACAGCTGTTTTCATTCATCACGCCAAAGCCTCCTTTTCCGTGAGTAAACTTTATACCAAGCGGACCACTTGTTTATCCTGTGTGCAGTCTGGCAGTTTATGGGTAAATGACAAATAAAAGGGAAACAGTTGCACTTAGCATGTGAAAGGAGGCAGTAAAGAAGGATTCTTCACATTTCATATTTACATTTCTCTACAACACACTGCTGTATCTTTTAATGAGAACATATTTACAACAGGTAACACTTTAATTCCTTTTGATTATCATGGAGCACCTTAAGGTTTATGTGGTATTTTATCTTATTTCTTTGATTTGAGTTGTCCTGATAATGGTTGCAGAGTGATGCTGCCTAACTTTTTTCTTTTCCCAAGCAAGGCAAGAGCCAAACTCATCAGCCACCAATGTAGGACAGGTCACCAGTCCACCACAGGGCAACACAAATGTGGTAAAAAGGTCCCACCTTGCGAAATTTCCTCCTCTGATGCTTCGGTGAAGCGATACAGCAAGTCCTGCCACTGCCGACTTAATTTGTAAGGCTGATGCCTGGCCTTTAACTGCAGCTCTAAATAACAGAGGGGGGAGTAAAGTAAGGAGACAGGAATCTTTGGTATTACAGTGTTTCTTCACTTCAGTTCGAAAAATGAGGTATAAGAGTTAACCAAAGAAGAGTTCTCACCGAGCAGTGGCGAGCACAGCCAAAAGGCAAAAGCATCCAGCACAGAATCAGGAATATTGAGAGCCTCCCGAACACTGCGGCCCAACTCCTGCACAGAGATGCTACCGAGCCCCTCCACCGACAAGTGCACCGCGCCATCCCCAAACATGTACACCAGCACGTCTTGAGCTGTGGGAGCACAGAATTTTGAACATTAATGACAAAAGGTGACCAACATATCTCTAACAGATTGCAAACAAAATCCCTGCACTGAATTTGGTAGCCCTGTAACTGAGTTTAGTTCATCTTTTCTAAGTTTGTTGCACCATACCCCGGGAAAGTGTTGCGGAGGAAGCCACACTTCCCCTTTGTGAGTGATCATCGGACAGATCTGGAGGAAAATTGCAGTCATCTCCTTCCATCTCTTATCTGAAACACCACATAGACAAAACAAAGAAGTAGAAAATGAAATGGCTATCCTGCATATAGCATACACATAAAAACAAAACAAATCAAAAATCTCTGAAAGTTTATATAGACTTCCTTCACTCTTTAACTTTACAAAATGACTTGAGTTATTGCTATGACTACAAATACTACATGGATGGTCATAAAGTGATTGGGTGGATGCTCCTCAGTCTTTTCACTCATGATAAACCAAAAGCAGTAATGGAATCAATTCAGGCCCTTTCTTAAATCGGGAATGGTAATGTCAAATCTCCAGTCTAAGCAACTGTTAGCCTCGCCCCTCTGACATGAAGTAACCCACAGCTAAAAACAAGTCACCACTATTCAAACCCGCTTACACAGAGCTACTTCTACGGCCTTATGGTGAGGAGATGGCACCATCCCAAGGACATTAGCCAGTTTCCCAAGTTACACGGATGCTGCCCACGCAACGGTGGACAATGTCCCCTGAATAACCCACTATCAAGCGAATCTAATTAAGCTCATCTTACAGCAGCTAAAACAGCGGAAGAGACCAAGTTAGCTACTCAAACTGCACACCGGAAAAGCTTAGTATCATAACAGAACATACTTATTACTACTTCTTCGTTAGCCTGCTGATAACAGGTTTCTTCCCATGTTTAGCCGACCGGCTAACTTCCACTGTTGTGCTACACAGTTTATCAAAGTCCAGCGTTCACCTACCTGTCAGTTATAATGTCGTGTGAATCTCCTTCCTGTAGCCGCTTTGGTTCTGGACGGGACACAACCAGTTTTGAAAACACAGCGTGGCACATTAGCTCAACAACAGCCCGCTCTTATCTCCCTGCCAACGGTTAGCCAGTCGCTTCTCCTAGCTTTCCGGGCAGTTGCAACTGTTACCGAGTGAGTGGCCGCTGGACGATTTGATTTTTTTTACCCATTCCTAGCGGGTTAGGGAGGGCTGCTAGTCTCGTGGAATTTTAAGAGCAAACATATAAATGAGGAAAGCTTCAGAGCGTTTTCAAACAATTGTTCAGTCGGGTTGACAGTTCAAAAATGGATTGGATGACCGAATCTATAAAACAAGATCTAAAAGATCTGCTCCCAAAAACGTCGAAGTGCTGCGCCTGACATTGTCACGTGGTCATGACGTCACGGCAGCTGGGAAGATTTATCTAGTCTAAAAAAATCAAGTTAAAAAGATTAATTTAGTCATAAATAAATAAAAAATAATTATTTGGTTTAAAATAAATTAATAGTTTTAAAAAGCGTCATTTTGTGTATTTGCTGCTGAAATTTTGCTGTACCATCTAAAAACAGCAGATTCCATCCACCCATCCATCCATCCATCCATCCATCCATCCATCCATCCATCCATCCATCCATCCATCATCTGCACTGTCTATTCCCAGAAGAGTCTTGGCAGCAGATTACATTCACAGTAAATTCCGATTTGTTTGGTTCACAGAACAAACATCACTCCCTCCACAGCTACTTGGAACCAGATTCATTCTGCAACAGGCTCAGTTGAAATCTACGGCAAGTATTAATTGCGAGTATATCTAAAATGGACCACAATGTGTTAGTATATTTTTCAATAATATGATCCACTATAGTGTGTAGTAATTTTATCACTCCATCTGAAACTCCGTCCAAAATTACATCAGGTGACAAACGAGGATATAACAGAACTCCAGACAAACTATTGCTTAAAAGAGACAAACAAGTAAACAACAAAAATAAACATGGCCGTATGAGTACAAGACTATTACTCTGATTTATTGAGATTTGAGATATATAAAATATGATATTATGATAAATCTTGATAATCAGCATCTCCGATCCACCTGATGAAGGGTAACTATATGCAGGGGCAGCAGGCTGGGGATTACAGCAGCAAATGGGCTTAGCAGCTTTGACAAAGGTGGCAGAACAGGGGACACATCTGATGGCTTTCATAGCATTACTGACATCGATTAGTCAATCTCCCTAATCCTATTTCTCTCATCGGCTCTCAGGGAGTCAGTGAAAGGGAGGGAGGGAGGAAAAAGGGACCACTTTTATACTGGTGTGAATTGCGTACACTTTACTTACACCAGAGAGGGTAAGAAAAACTGACTCCACTCCATAAGGCATTTAGTAACTTCAACCTTTAATAAGTCATCTGTTAATTTATGTAGTCCTGTTGCACAGCAGAGCAATGAGCCACATGTCTCTCTACAGTCAGCTTTACATCTTGATTTTCTTAAGACCAAAACAAAACTTTTTTTTTTACATTGCCTCATCAAACACTGCTGTTTCACTGATTAAACTGGGGTTGCTTTATTGCTTTTGACATAAAAGTTAATTATGAGGATGCATTTAGCAGTGCACATAACCTTCAAAAGCAATGAAGTGCATCTTGTGTTATTTCGTAGGACTGCAAACAAATACAGTAAAACAATGCAGGGTAAACATTTTCTTTTTCAAATAAAGTAAATAATAATAAAAAATCTTCTCTTTTATTTCGACCATATCACTAATTTTAAAAATTGTTCCAAAACCAGATGAGTTTGTGAGTTTATTAACTTTTTTTGGATCCTCTGTCAAATACTGGCATTCAATTTAATTTTTTCTTTTATTAATCTTACCAGTAATGGTCATCTGACAATAAAAAATACTACCTCTAATTTTGTGAAATTTACAGAAACTTGTCAATCTTGTTCGTTCTTTAGATTACAATGATCCTTTAGTTGCCTTCTTTTGTAAAAGTTATTTACATGTGTACAAACTGCATGTGGTTTAGGGCGCAGGGGGGGCATCTCCAGAAGCACCCTCTTCCACCTGGTTTGTAAGCAGGAGCGCTTTCAGCACAGGGTCGAGGTACTCCATGATGGTTTCTTTCACTCCTTTCTCCAACAGGTACCCCTCTGTTTCGATCTCTGCGTTTTCATTTCCAGCAACTGCTTCCATGGCGGTCTGCAGGAAGCGCAGGCTGACCAGCACAGAGCCCTGCAGAGAAGTAGGTGTTGAACAACATGTTTGATGTATTGTTGGATCCATATACAGATAAAGTTGATATTCTTATTAACAAAACATTTAGATCTGACAAATGCAAGTTGGAAATAATATTCAACATGATATTTTGTGTAGTTTTGAAAAAATAATGCAACTGTGGTGGTAATGTTAAAGCATATTCAAAGCAAATGGTATGCCTTGCTTCGTATTGCTTCATGCTCTCTTTGAAGTCATTTTGGGATGGCTGGAATATCTCTTAAAGTTTACCTGTAAAAGGAAGATTGACAACACTCCAGCTCCAATGGTGTTCATCAAGCCCATGTAGTAGTGGACCAGGGCCTCTCGGCAGCCTCGAAGGTAGATGTTGAGCTCCTCCGTTTCGTACTCGTAGTTGTAGTGAGCTGAGTTGTTGGTGAGTTGGTACTGGATGCATGGCCGGGGAGAGCTGGGATTGCAGCAACTGAAGGGGACTCCGTCTACCAGGTAACGGCCGTCCACGTTGCTCTTGACGCGACTGGTGAAACAAAGGGGAGAAAACTATCCATGTTACAGCCTTCCAATCAGATATCCTGAGCTTGGCCTGCTATGTCACCTCGACTTACTTTTTCACTTCATTAGAGCCGAAATCCAGGTAGCGGTTGCTGACCCACTGGACCTCAAACCAGTCCCTGAAGTCATTGTTTCCGCAACACTGGAACTCCATCTGCAGGCGATCAATGTTCTGCTTCTGGAAGCAGCGGCCGGGGGTGTCTGTGTCCTTGTAAAAGCGGATGCCGTTCTTCAGACCAACCTTTAGAGAATACTCGAGACTGCCCTTCATTGCGTAGCTCATGATGACGGAGAGCAGCATGAGCACAGTGAAGAAGCAGGAGACAGCGAAGTAGGGCTTCAGGAAGTTTTTCCAGCGAGGAAATTTCCCAGCATCCAGGGCGTCTTGACAGATCTTTGACGCAAAATAGTTGATGCCCAAGGAAGCTAGACCAACGATCATGAGGGTATTGGGCACAATATGTATGTCCGTGTTATCCATTACCTGAAAGGAAGTCACACAAAAATGCAGGGAGCATGAATTCCATCTTTTTAAAAAGTAAATAACATGCACCCAAAGGCACCTCGATCAATTATGGGTATGAGGTGCTTAAAAATACATGATATTGACTTCATAATACAGTGTCAGCAACTTCCCAATCTAATCAGTAGCAAAGTTTTGAATAGATCATGTTAGATGGATCAGATAGATGTTTTTTTTCAGAATTATTGATCAATTACAGCAAATCAAATCTGTCATGCAGTAAACAGGAAGTGAGGTCATGTTGTCGATTATGGAGGTCAAGCTCCCTAGGTGCACGATTTGACCACTGGGTGGTGCTCTAGTAAACAAACATCTTTTCTCCACCTAAATCAGTGCTTACATCCACTCTTCTCACACTGCTATAGCAGTCATCCCCTTCTAGGCTACTGTGCCCTCATCATTGTGTTGCACAGCTTTCTGTGTATAACTATTCTCAACTTTACCATTACTGTCAGTCCCTTTTCTCTTTTTTGGTTGGGTGCTGACCAGCTTGCCTAAAACAAAAAAAGAAGCCATACTTGTTTTATAAGTGTGTCGACTGGATCTATAAACATCCCTTCAACTTTGTTAAATGCAGTGGAAAACTCATATGGGACCTGGCCACAAAACAGATGTAAAGCAAACTGACATCCACTGTGGTTCTTTTAATTTACTGCCAAGTTTTTTTTAGTTAAGTCATTTTTTAAAAGTCAATCATTCAAGGACAACAGCTTGTTTCAAGAAAACTGAATTTGAAGTTTTGTGAGATCTGCAAATGAATGTGATCTAAAATTATTTCACAGACAAACTAAATTATAATAGTGATGTAACTTGAGAACAACTTTGCACACAGTGTGTGTTACTTTTCCTTTTCTCTTTGCCAATTAATGATGGGTTGATAAACCTGTCAATTGATTTGAAGATTTGAATCAAAACTCATTCAGCTAGGTTATTAAAAATAAGGTTGCTGGTTTGTCACTAAGTTGAAGATGACTCAAGATGAAGGGATTACTTTGATTGGGACTGACAGAGCCTGGTTTATGAAATGATTAGTCAGGTGCAAATTGGGTCACAGGTATATCCACCTTTTCATGGTCATAGTAAAGGACATTTCTTTCACCTGATCGCATAATTAATAATTTCTCCAAATGTACTCTCAGCAGTTGAATAGTAAGAAAGGGGTGGACATTTTAGTTAAAGCCCAAACCCTTTCAAGATAAATTAATTAGTTGAAAGGCACACATTTTTAAATAATAGTTATTTTATAATGGTTTGAGCTGTTAATTATTCAGTGGTATCTACATGAAAAAACATGTTTTCCAAAGTTTAGCAAACATTTAGCAAATATTGCGATCACCCAGTGTTTTTCTCCCCACCTTTCTGCACAAAGCTAAGCACATGGACTTTACACTTTTTGTCACTATACATTTAATGTACCTCACTTTGGCAATGAAACAGTACAGTTAAAAAAAGGAAGGAGCAAATACTCTAACATGTAAAACATCAGGTACCTCTGCTCTCCTGCGGAGCTCCGTCTTGAGGAGGCACCCTAGGGTGAAGGTTGTGGCCCCAGCAACCGTGGCACACCACGAGAGGAGCCACAGTCCCTGGGCAAGCTTCACCCTTTTCTGAAAGGGGAACTTCATCTTCATCACCACCATGTTTGCAGCGAGGGAGTCCGAGTCTTACCGGGGGAAGAGGGGAAGGAGAGTGAAGAGGCAATGAGGGCCGATGCTGTGATTTGTCTGTGAGAGAGAAGGAAAGGTGAGCGGCAGGACTCCAAAAGCTTACTGAAGATATGATGACAGTTAAAAACACAGCTCTCAGTTGGAAAACTAGACTAGGAGCAACTGTCAAAGCACAACTGCAACTGATGAATAAAAGTTTTTCGAGAAACAAAAGTGAAGAGCATTTATAAAAAGCGTCCTGTAAAATCCTTGTGAATTAATAGTTCCAAGGTTCAAATCTAAAAAGGCACACCATCAATGCAAAGACATCGGTGGGTCAAAGTTCACCTTATTTTTCTCCCCAAAAGATGCTGAAAAAAAGTCCAGTTATCTCCACTAACCACTGTGCACCTTCCAGTGTGCCACACAGTGGATTTGGCACACTGGATTTGGCTAACTTGGATGCAGGGAGCGTCTTACCGCTAATGCCTACCTATCCTATTAAACCGGTCTGTGGATCCAGGCCACTGTGTGCTCAGCAGCCATTACTCACAAAGAGGGACATGGATGACAAACCAAATTAAATCTGACAGGTAGATATTGAATATCATTAGGATGTCAGTCATCATCTGTAAAATATTGGTTCTCAGGACACAGCTCCAGATGCATTTCTTCCAGAAACTTGAACGAATATGCAATAAAAATCCAATGTGCATTTTAAGAGATAATTTATCTGAATTTTCATGGTTATTTCTAGTGATGTTTTTTTTTCTTATTTGTCGTGTCATTATTTATCACCTCTGACAGTCATAAATGTGTTTTACAAAAACAATAAACTCCAAAAAGCACATAGGCTTTGAGCGAAACTACAAAGATAAAATGCGACTTTGACCTTCACGACAACCTACGTAATGTGTGGTAGCAGAGAGTTCATGAGTTCATGAGGAGTTCAGTAGGTACCCCGAGGGTGAATTTGCTTATATATTATATGGTGAAATATGGAGTACTTATTCAACAGTATCAATTCAGTCCTTGACGCATATTACATAATGATGTGTTCTTTAATCATAAACTCGCTAGGAGAGTTAATCAGACATCTCTGATACAGAGATGGAGGAATACATTAAACATATCACACTTTCCCTCACATCAGAGTATTTCCTTGGACTGTTTCACACCTCCTGTGGATGCTCACCACACACGCCTTAAGAATTTGAACTTCTTGACCAGACTCCCAACATCACAGCTCCACGTTGTCCACAGTTCACTTTAGCAAGCAGAGAGATTACTGAAACAAGTGTCCGGCCATGTTCCAGTCTCCAGGAACATTCTCGCTACATCCACCTTTTCTTTACTCTTACTTCAGGCAGTCTGATGGGAAATGAAACACACTCATGCAGCTGAAATGGTATTGCTTTTTTTCCCTTTATTGGATGAAACACAGAGTTACATGGAGTGACTCATAGTTGAGAACTTCTATTAACAGCCTAGTAGGGGAAAAAAGTTATAGGTCCACATAACAACATTTATAATGATTAAGATATAGTAATAATTGTAAGTGTTACGATGTTTATAATGTGTCCTGCATAGAATATGGCTACTATGAATATTTTACATGGAAGGAAAGATGTCTTAATTGTGATATATTGGGTCAATACACACTGTCTCAAACACAAAAATGAAAGAGGCTATATATGCAGAAAGTAAAATATATGAATGCATAATGCATCTTACAACAGGGAAAACACAGTGTGACTACAATTGTATATACTGCATTGATCAATGTACACGAATGATCTATTTCTACATATATATTTCATCTCTGCAAACAAAATATCATCAGTCTAACATTGAATCGTCTGATCTATGGCAGGGGTTCAATATACATAATTTTACATTTATCTTCCTTCAATTACTGCTAGCAAATATCAACTGGGTTAATGACTTTCAATAGGTCTGACTATCAAAAGCTATGGAAAGTGTTGGTTAGTATAATTTTTAAAAGTAGAACCAGTCATTCTTGCAGTTTATGGTAAATACACAGTAAAGAAAGGTAATTACATTTCACACTGTGGACAAAACCTTTGCATTTCACAGCTTTGTTCGCTCCCCTTTCAGCACCTCCTCGGGAATCCCTCTCGCCCATTCTTGTACCTCAGCCCTGCCTGGCTCGCTTTGCTCACTGAACTGTGGATCACAAATCAAGTGGTTGAGCATCCTCTCAGCTGAGTGCAGGCTAGCCAGGCTGCCATCTGCCTCTGGCCCCCTGCTCTCCGTCACACTCCTGACCGTGTCCCTGTCATTGCTTATTCTCCAGTGATGAATGATCTCATTATGTAAATCCTCAATAATTTCTTCTTCCGAATGGTGGAGGTTCATCATGGCCTCTGTGCCTCTCAGCTCTTTTTGCACGGGGTGGCATGCTAGAGGGATTTCCTCCAGGCTGGCTGACCTAATCAGGATGGTGGACTTGAAGTTCTGACTCGTGGCCATCCTGTAGCTTTCGTCGTCGGGTATGACGTTAGACAAATTCTTGAAGCCAGATGAGCAAGAATTGGCGTGTTGTGGTGGGAAAAAGTCATTGTGGATTGTGAATTGGAGCTTGGGTATCTGCAGCGGGCGTGGAGAGTGTCGTCTGACCCCGTCCTCACCCCCTGACTCACTGTCTTTGTCCACGTCCGCTTCCTGATGTCTCCATGCCCTATTTGATCCCATCAGTATAAGCCGAGGGGTTTCCTCTCCGATCTCGGACCAGTCCGACTCCTCCTCCTCTGGAACCGACCCCAGTGATAGCTCCTGCACAGCTTTGGCCTTCCCATATTCTTGGCTGTCCATGAACTGAGCCGGAGGGGGAGGGATGGAGGTAACAGTCTGAGAAACAGCATTAACTTACTGAGAATAAAAGTGGTTTTAGAGTGAGAGAGAGTTGATATTTACTACAGTCCGTAAAAACATGTAAAATGCAAAGTCATGGAATAGAGATGTGTGATTGAATCACTTACAGAGATGCTTCTCGATGTTATTCGTAATTTCATGAACTTGCTACTCCGGCCACAATGGCTCAGATATTGTCATTATTCTTTTAGATCTTTTAATGACCAAAATTTAAAGAGAAAGGTAAATATCTTACTGTTAGTGCCCCCGTGCCTTTTCCAGTGAGCTGCACCGTCAGCTCTGAAATACGCCGATTCAACCGCTCACGTTCGCCCTCCATATTCTGAGCCTGAGAAAGTCGGGAAACAAGCTCAGTCATCATAGATCTTCAGTTTGTGGGGGACTTTAATGAGCTGCAGATTACAGGCTACCCCCAAAAAGACGTATTCATGATTCTGTTATTTTGCAATCTCACCACTGAGTGAAGCTTTTGCTCCAGAATATTGTTGCTGTGTTGTGCTGAGGAACAGTTGTCCTGCAGTCTAAAATTAGGCAGACACAAACAGAAAATGACTCATTAGTGATACTATATATTACAGTGCTCTATGTTTTAATGTCACATCTGAGATGATATGAGATCAAGTAATAAAGGCATTAAAGGTCACAGATTGAATAAATCATCTGGATGAGAATTCTGAACCTTCTGAATCTGTCCATGAGGTTTGAGAGCTCCATGCGGGTCTTGTGAAGTTCAGTCTCCAGCACCTTTTGGCTGCTGATGAATTCCTCTCCCAGACACTCCATCCTCACTGCGGTCTGCAGTAAACTCTGGTGAAGACCTTCATTTTGGTTTTGTAACATCCTTCCAACACACAATTATAAAAAGATGAAGAGGGGTAATGGACAGATATTTTTGATTTAGTTATTTATTTATCTAATAAGATGTAATTCCTTTTCACAGTAGTTTTGATGGACCATCTAGTCATTTGATTTATTGTAGATTGTATGGTTCTTGACTTTCACCTAATAATAAACTAAAAAAGAATAGCATTACACTTACATGATTTTACCCAGCTCATCTGTCTTTCCCTGTATAAATAGAAAAACAAAAGAAGATGTACAGTCACTTTGATTGGAAAAGACACATTTTAAAGGGATAAAATTGTAAAAAAAAAAAAAAAAGAAAGAGAAGAAATATCAATTTGTAATATTGATTATCATTACTTTCAGCATCATAAATAATCTATTGTTTAATAATAGATTATCATGTGGCCACCATGACTTACATGCAATAAGCAAAATCAATACAACTGAGACTGTTATCAGAGGAATAATAAATGAATAGTTAAATACAGTAAATATGAATGATAAACAACTTTGATTTCATGCATTAGACTTAAATGTGATGCTTTACTTTAGGTTTTGATGGACCGGTAAAACTTGTCTGCTCCTCATCTTCACTGGGCGGGTTGTTTGCGTTGCTGAGAAGAGACTCCGGCTTTCTTTGTGAAAGTGGACTGCTGGCAGAACTCGCTGTGAAGTGAGCATGGCTTTCGTTGAGGCCATCCTGCTCGAGATGGGTGTTTTTGCTCTCCTTGAGATATGTGTGAGATTCAGGGGCATGGCCTTGGTGAGGACTTCCATGGTGATGGTAAAGATCTTCATTGTCTCCACGGAGATGGTGGCTGCCACTGCTCTGGTGCTCTCCTTGGTGACTATGGTGAGTATCAGTATGGTGTCCATGGGGATGTGCCTCTTTCTTTTGGTCTCCCTGGAGATGGCGGTGACCAGGACTGTGGTGGTCTCCATGGTGATGTTGGTGAGGGCCAGGACTGTGGTGGTGTTTATGGTGACGGTGGCGGCCAGGGCTGTGGTCTCCATGGTGATGCTGGTGAGATTCAGTGTGCTGGTCTCCATGGTGATGGTGAGGGACAGGACTGTGATGGTCTCTATTGTGATGGTGACGACCAGGACTGTGGTCTCCATGGTGATGCTGATGAGATTCATTGTGCTGGTCTCCATGGTGATGGTGACCGTCATGACTGTGGTGGTCTCCATGGTGATGTTGATGATCAGAGCTGTGATGGTCTCCATGGTGATCATGATGCCCAGGAATGTGGTCATCTCTATGGTGATGCTGATGAGATTCATTGTGTGGGTCTCCATGGTGTTTATGATGGTCAGGATCGTGGTGGTCTCCATGGTGATGCTGGTGAGTTTCATTGTGTTTGTCTCCATGCTGATGGTGACGGCCAGGACTATGGTGGTCACCATGGTGATGGTCAGGACTGTGGTACTCTCCATGGTGATGCTGGTGAGCTTCATTGTGTTTGTCTCCATGGTGATGGTGACGGCCAGCACTCTGGTGGTCACCATGATGATGATGACTGCCAGGACTGTGGTGGTCTCCATGTGAAATTTGATGTGGCCCACCTAAGTGATCTCCATGGTGCTGATGAGTGTCTTTGTGGTGGTCTCCATGGTGATGTGTTGGACCATGGCAATCCTCAGTATCACTGGACGAACTGTGGTGTTCATGGTGACGTGGCGTGGTCGGACGAGAGTTTGCATGGTAATTTTGATGATGATCTCCCTGCTGATGACCCTGGTCATGGTGGGCTTCTGGGTGATGGTCACGGGCAAGGCTGTGGTGCTCACCATGATGATGAGTCGGGCTATAGCAGTTTTCATGACGGCTGTCTTCATATTCATGGTGGTGTGATGAGTCGTGGTTTTCTTTGTTGTGAGGAGACTGGCTGTGGTCTCCATGTTGATAGGCAGGACTGCGTTGGTGTTTGTGGCGATGCTGAAGGCTTGTGACGTGTTGATCTCCATGGTTCTGATGATTTTTTGGGCCTTTGTCTTTGTGATGATGACCAGAGCTACGATGATGGTGGTGGTGCTTCTGGGGCGGCAAATTGGAATGATGCTCGGGACTTTGAGGACATGAGTGAGAGCTTCTTGACCTGTGATGTGTGTGATGGACGGGGTTTGTTGAATGGTGATTGTGATGGTGGGAAGAATGTCGAGAAGAGTGGGAATGTTTGCTTGTGTGGGAGTGCTTGCTGGAGCTAATTGACTCAGCGCTGGTAGGACGGCTTTTCTGCTGTCTGGATTTATCTGTGCTGCCATCCCTCTCTGTGGATTTTGATGAGACTTGGCCAGAATTGTGGGATTTTTGAGCATTTGTAACCCCAAGAGTGGTGAGTCTCATGGGGCTGAGCACTTGCCGAGTGATCTCATTGAGGAAGGCCGAAAACTCCTTTTTTTCTTTCATGAAATTCTTTCTTACTTCACAACTATTTCTCTCCTGTTGATATTCATCCTCATTTCCATTCCCACCTCTGTCTTTGGATCTTGGGAGATTTTCCATTGATTTGGCTTTACGGAAACTTCCTTGATTCCGCGAGTTTCTTTTGTTTGCTCCTTTGTTCTTCACAGCTCCCTTGGCAGAGCCTCTGTGAGAGACCCTGCCCATCTCTCGTTTCTCTTTGGCAGATGTTCTGCTCTGATTACCTCTTTTATTTATCAAAGGGGCTGTGTCATCTTCCTCTTCAAAGTGCCTGCGTTTCCCAGAAATCTCTGTGCAAGACTGAGAATGCAGCGGCTTTCTAAGAGGAGATCCATCAGAACCCTCGCTGCTGTTGGACGGGCTCAGAGTGGAGGAAGACGTTGTTGAGGAGGAATAAAATGAAGACGAAGAAGAGGAGGAAGAAGATGGGGAGGAGGAGCGGGAGGAGGAGCGGGAGGAGGAGGAAGAAGAGGAGGAAGAAGAGGATGATGAGGATAAAGACGATGAGGATGCAGAGACATGACGTCGCTTTTGCTTGTGGGTGTAATGGCGAGCGTGAGGAGGATTGTCGTGCTGACTTCGGTGGTTCGGGTGATGATCACTGACAACGCTGTGCTCTCCTGAGTGGACTCTGTTCGATAAAACAGCGTGGTTAAATTCACATCCCAATCAAAAGAACGGAATTACTTTACTATTTGATTTCTTTATTAATTTTGTACATTGTAAAACCTAAGACAAAATGTCTATGCTATATTTAAGTATTTCTTTAAAATAAAGAAAAGGATTAGAAAACACATTTGTGATTGCAGTGAGAAAAGTGACACACTTACTCTTGACCATTGTCATCCGACTCATGGTGGTAATGGTGATGGTGATGCTTGCCTTGATTTTGCCTCATTTTTTGAGATTTGGTGCTGCTGGCCTTTCCATGTTTGTGTTCTTTTTCTGGATGGTCGCACATTTCAGTTTTCGGGTGATTTCTGGCGTCCTGATCTGGATGCACGGGTCTGAAAAATGTATCCATTAACTGATGCTATTCAATGGAAGTCACACAATGACAATCTCTGGAAAAAACATCAGCCCTCTTCAAATCTTTGTTCCTTGATTCAATTTGTAAATCAGAAAAAAAAATTCTCTTATTTGTTTTACTAAATTGGGAACTCACTTACATCACATTTAAGATTTTCTTCAATAATGACAATAGTAATAGTAATCCAGTCCAATGTATTGGATGACTGTAACTGTTTATTACCACTTTATAAAACTACTTCGCTTGACCACAAAAAGATATAACTAAAACACCCTATACTAATAAAACAGAAAAAAAACAAATCTAACTTACTTAAACTTAGTAAGGCAGGCAAACAGACTAACTTAAATATATTTAAAGGCTTGTTTCTAAAAAGCTTGTTTCTAATCTATCCACCATCTAATGAGTATTTGTACTTACGTTGTTCTCTCGAGTGCAGTGGCGTTTATTCAAATACACTGACTCCGCCTGTGTGATGTCCCTTATAGTTGTGCTGGGAGGCACACGTGAAGCATGCACTGACATATCAATATGAACATCTCTGCCGTCCAATGACAGAAGCGCTGGCTGTGGAGACGTGCTACTTTGAACTGCATTAAACTCTAATGAGTGCGATGTGAAGTTAGTTTTTGTTTTTTTGTTTTTTAACATTTACAGCATGAAATCATATACAACAGATTCCCAATAGGAACATGCACAAATAAATCAAGGCAATATTTTTCAAGTTTCTTTCAAATTCAGTTTTTAATTCAACATCTCTCCAGAAATTTACATAAAATGCAGTTTACTTTGAAACAATAGTTTGTTTTATGTATGCAGAAATGACAATATTCTACAGAATAAATATATACAGCATCCATATTTAGCATCCATAATTGACTTTATGTGCACTTAGGAGAGATGGGCACAGAACTGCCTGGCATGCTAACAACAAATTCAAATCATTAAGTATGTCCTTATTATGTCAGTACAGTGGAAACACTAATAACTCTGGGCGACTGAAAAATGCATTGAACTCCAATATAGAGAGACAAGCAATTACAAATTATGAGATCAATAAGTATTACCAAAACACTTTGAATTTTCATGGGAAAAAGATACCAAAACTAAGCTTTGGCTTGTGAACAAATACCAGATCGGCTGTTCTCATCATAATTTAGCAGCACATACAAAATTGATCACAGCCAGCAGCTTTTTCTACATCAGTGGCTCAAATCCCCTGCCAATCAATGCTGGAGCCTCACTGCTGTGACAAACGCAATGGAAAATCGGGTATGTCAGTGAACACTCGCATGAAAACACGTGACCCGCCGGTGGATATTTACAACACCAATATCTACACTGGAATAAGTGTGAGGATTCCCAAGGACACCATGAACTGAACAGATAACATCAGCCCTCTTCGTGTGAGAATACTGCAACTCCACATCGCATCATGATAAAAATTCATGTGCGGAAAGGCTGCATTAATTAAATGTCTTTGACAGTTTTACTGCGCTCACAAGTTTTTGACAATACCTACATTTAGTTGTATTTAATTGCATGCAATGAGAGTGTGTTACAATATTATTCTGAAGACGTGAAAGGCCAAAGTCTAATTTTGTAAAAGAAAAGTAAAAATATGATTTAGGTTTTGCCCTGAAGCCTGAAAAAGTGGTATTTATGATGCAAAATCAACACAAAAGAGCATAACTACAGAATTGAAAGGTAACCTCATTGAGTTTAATGACCTCCACAGGACAGGAGGGGGAGGTTCTGCACCTCTGAGGGGAGGAGTGTGCATAATGGCTCCAGAAAAGTATTGAACATTGCAGAATCGACAACAGAACAGGACATTAGATGCATTTTTTTCCATTCAACTTCCGTTCATCATGCTTTCATTCAGAGGATTACATGTAGGGAACACGTGCATGTATCTAAAGCACTGAATTGTAATTACTAAAACATCACTGGATGTTTGAATGAGACCTGACAACTCTTGAGAAAACACAAACTGTTCTGTTACTATGGTTCTTGCGTAACTGCAACACGTCCTACAGCCAACGTGCAGGCTTTTAATTAGTTCTGAAATCCCCAGCATGAGTTAGTATTGATATGCTGCTTCCAGCCATCATATGCCTCCAGAACACAACAGGCACTGTCTCTGTTTGTACGGCCGGATTGTGCAACAAACAGTTTCTGATGGTTTTACAGCCGACAAAGCTCCACACCAAGTGCGAGGTTTCTTAGCTGGATAGGGAAAAAAAGATGAAAAGGCCACGAACTTTCAAATGTTAGGTTTATGTAGTATTACCATTTAATGGACAGTCAAAAACATCAGGAAAAGGTACATACAGTAGAGATGGCCAATCTAAAAGCAAAGTCACTAGAGACACTCATATTTATGTTGTATGTGTGGTCGTGTCTGAGTCCAGGTCTGAAAGGGCCTCCTTCTGAAATGGATAATTGCACAGAGCCCCTTAAACCATCAGCAGTAGGAATCAGTTTAGCGGCAAATTATAACATTCTGACATTTCTGCCAGCAGGAGATTCTCTCTCAATATCAAAACTCTCTCTAGAGAAAACTTAGCAGGAAAAAAAATAAAATCAAATAGATTACAAAGATCACTGACAAATATTAGCTGGAATAAGTGTTGCCCTAGTCACCAAAGAAACAAAACCTGTAAATCACCTATGCACTGCGCCTTGGTCACCTTTTACACCTGCTTGTTGCTTGGATCAGGAAAGTTCCTGAATTTAGTGAGTGATTTCTTTTCAGTCCTTAAGAGGGCCCTGACATGCTCCATGTGCCTGACGCAAACAAAGGATCCGGCCTCCTAAAGTTGGATAAACAGCTCCCTCTGCCGGGCTGACCCGGTACAGGAGGGATCCAACTCAGCTCACTCCACACACTCCCGTCATGTAACACTCAAGTAAAACAAAGGGTTGCTCGTCGTCAGTTTTTCCCCACGCGAATGTTTGGGTTGAGGAGAGGATCTAAATTAGGGTCTGAGCCCGCCGAGGCACGTCCAAGTTTGGCCATGATGATTATCAACGTAAAGAATCCCAGAACGCCCACCAACAGGAGCATGAAGACCCGCTGCTTCCAGGACAGGGAGGTCCTTTTCCCACCAGAGCGGTTCCTGAAAACATCAACAGATAAAGGACACCCGTGATCAAGAGATTCCTGTGATCAATTTATACTGTATGTCACTGTGAAAAATGAAAAATGCCATTCATCAATATGGAATGGAAATACTAACTTTAAAATCTGTGCAAACCAACTCAGCGCCGGTCGCCGCCGGTACTTGTCATCATCAAAGTCAATTTGTGTGACGGAGCTGTGAGCAACGTCCCGTGTGTCGTAGACTTTTCGTGGTGAAGATGCTGAAAAATAACAAAAAAATGACTTGCGTTGTGTTCAAAACAACAAAAACAACCCAATTTACTTTAACCAAAGCTCTTCTTTGAAACCGGGCAAAGAAAGCAGACTGCACAGACCCTCTGTGAGTACCTTTGTGCATTGTAATGGTGTCGCAGGTGTTGGCAGTAGTAAAATTGATCACAGCGTGATCCTGGATATTTGGATCCCCATTTTTGTGAAGACCCCCGAGGTCTTCCTGCGTTGGAGGTGAGACAGATGGTGAGCTGATGCTGGAGTTGTAAGACTGACTGGGGTATATGTTGCTCTGTTCTTGTGCTGTAGAAATAAAGAAAGAGCATTTTTGTCAAATTATTTAAACCGCCAGTGACATCGTTTGAATATTACTGTACAGCCTCTCAAAAGCTCACCATCAAATGTGGACCAGTCTCTGTAATCGGTGACATCATTAACCGTTGTCTCTTCAAGGACGCCAACAGCCTCTTCAATCTGTTCAAGATTACATTTATAAAAATGTAATTAACCAACAGGACTGTTAATTTGCTCTTTGGACAAGAACAAAGTAATTAGCAATAATGGCCCCATACCAGTGGCAGCCCTAAACCAGCTCTGGCCCAGTTAACAGATGACAGCTGCTCTTTTAGCACATCAGCAACTGGGCTGGCCAAGTTGGAAGGGGGGAAGACTGGACCCTGACAGGTGGGACACTGGTACCCTGCTGGGGCCGTATGGAGTGGCAGCCTCGATGCCAAGTTATTAAGACAGGCCCAGTGAAACACATCTAGGAAAAAGTAGAGGTTAATGTTCTTTGTTTTGTATTCATGGAAATTGGTAGGGATCTCAAAGCACGTTCCTAAAATGACCTTAAAGCAGGTTTGAGCAACTTACCATAGCAGACCAGTCTGACTGTGTCTTGTGATGTCAGTGGATGATTGCACAGAGCACAGTTGGGGTTGTAATCACTGTCCTGGAGCCACTGCAGATATGACTGCACGATACACTGAGAGGCAGAACGTTGAAACAAAGGATGTCACAGAGATGCTACAACTTTGGATTTAAGCTGCAATATCTCGTTTTCACACCCCTGACTGACCTTGTTGTGGTTGGAGACGAGGCAATGTTCGCACACGTTCACACGATGTTCGAAACAGAATAAATTGGTCACCTTTCTCTTTGGACACTTGCAGAGACCCATAGCCGCGTGCACTGTGTTGATGGTAAACAAGGCAGGTTTGTGAGATGAAGCCACAAAAATGAAGACAATAACAGCGTAGCAGCAAATGTGTTTATCCTAAGGGAATTCTTAGCTTCATCTCTTCCAAATTCCATGACATCTTAAAAATACCCCTGAAACACACCATAAACTCAAGTTCAATAAGCTTTTACAGCTTGAATGACAACTCATTACAGAGGCAGAACCTCAGGGTGTTGTATGCTGTGCATAATCAATTGGATTATGTAAACAGGGGAATAAAGAAGAGGAAACACTAAAGTAGTCATGTAAGCAGGCATTGTTATGTCTCAGCTTTATGGATTGGACCCTGACTGATGTGTCAGCATACAAATGAGTGATAACAAGCACCGTGAAATAATGGTGCTCTGATCAGCAGCTATTAGAAAGTCAAGGTGAGTCTTTTACATTTTGCTCCTTTTAAAAATATACCGATAGCACATTGATACAGATAGCATCAGTACTCAGTACTACAGCTGCTGCATTTACTAAAGTAATGTCATTATTATTTTGGTATAACATACTCATTTCAGGGGTTCTGAGTTGTTTTTTTATTAACTATTCTACATTAGAAGAAAATGAAAGTAAACAAAATAAAAACTAATGAGGTGATGCTTTAAACTGATTATGTCAGTGTAATCTATTCAAAACTTACCAGTTAATCATAAGACATTTTTTAAGCTCAAAGCTGAGAAGAGAGAGTTTGAAAGTCATATGATGCACACTGACCAATAAGATATCAGTGGCTAAGACATAATGATGATCCAAAGAATACCACCTTCTATATGAAACTCAACACCTCTAATATATTGCATTATTTCCAAAGTTTTTGGGGCTTTAATACTTTTAATGTACACATGTAAAGGGGAAAGGAAATATAAAAAAGCATACAGCAATGGGCCACAGGAAGGGAGACAAACATATTGGTGCTAACTGTTCAGCCTCTTTGACACCTCTCTGGATTTTTTAGGGACATGTTTTCTCCAGTGTAAGCAGTTTAAATCAAATAGTTTTTTGCCATTAACCACACTGCACACAAATTGTCACACAAAAAAACTTGAGTTACACCAAAATAATTACTTCACATTTCTTACAGAGCTTATATTGAAGGTTAAGTAAATCCAAATTATTGCTTCATGAGAAGTTAAGGCAATTATGAAATTCAGTGAATGAGTTTTAAGAGTAAATCACCTTATTTCATGAGATTGTGTCTGCATATAAGGCAGAGTGATGCTAATTAGCCTAATTAAAACACACTGTGGTACTGTACATAGTTTATTTCTGCATAAACAGCTTCTTGACTGTTCCAGCAGTGTATGCTGACAATGTCACAACTAAAATGGTGTGTTCAATGCTCGAAAATCTTATCACATTGTCGTCACATATGTTAGTATTTCTAAGGATTGTGATCCTATATCCTAGACTGAATATTTTCCTATTCTTTAAGGCTAAAATAAGTAAATAATGGCCTCTTTAGCTTCTGCTCCTGAAGTTTATCTTAATCACATACAAGTAACTTATGCCAGATCCTGTAGATGAACAGTCCAATATTAAACTTCAATTAAATTGAAATATGACTGAATATAGGATTTTGTTCTGTGCCAAATTATTATTAGGTTTCCAAATGTCACCAAGCTTCATGCACACATGTTTGCACTAAGTTAGAGCTCTTTACCTGTTGGCATTTAAGTTTTTAGTTGTCCGAAAAGTTTTTAGGTTCCTGATTGAGTTGCTATGTGTTTAATATGATTTAGCAGCACCATCTTTAGACAGATTACCTCAAACGTCAACCAGTGCTAACATAAGTTAGCTACTAGCTTTGCTAGAAGTTGTCAGGTGAGATGACGTTAGCATGCTAACTAGCTTAACGGTGGAGAAGAAGAAGTTTCCAAAGGAAATGTTAATCTTACCTGTCACATAGACATTAATATAGGCCCGTTCGTTTTAAGTTATGTTGTATGTTGTCATTCAAGCTGCCTTCTCAAATTCACATGTAAGTCGGCTACAGAGGGTGTCATCATAAACCTGAGCTGATTCCTTCCTCTGTCTGTTTATGTGCCACGTCTCTTCCGCTTTTACTTCTTCTTCTTTGGTTATGTTCAGCAGAAGCTGCCCTCCATCAAAGTGTATTACTGCCATCTATTGGTCATTTCCTCCTTTTCATCGCAGTCAAGCCCGTAGGGTCCTTCTGCTTCTGTCACTAATTATTTTCATTCCCTCTGCATCAAACTTCCTCAAATAAACACATTAATTGTTGACAAGAGTATCACATCAGTTATGAATGGTAAATTTTAATAAGCGCGCTGCTCAGATTTGTAAGACCTGTTATTAGTCTTGCGTTTACTACAATGTCCTTTTAATTGCGAATACACCACTGTTAATGCTTTGTTGGGAATAAAAAAAAAAGCCTGCTTTTTTCCCCTGATGATTTGAACCTTCCTCACCACCTTTTGTGCATCTAAGTTTGAAAATAAGATATCAGTCTAAATGTTCCATTTTGGTAGCTTCCTGAGTTAATTTGTTCATCGTTTTTTTCTCCTCCCAAATGCCAACACAAGCTGACGCCCACACAAATGCCACCTCAGTGGCTCGTCTCACAGTCTGACATATGTGTCAACATGATCTCATTTAAGAAGTCCTGAAAAGTGTGTAACTTACTTAGCACTATAACATTTACAGACTAAGTCACCATAAAACATGGTGTAAATATGTAAAGACATCTAGAAATGTGATATCGATTTTTACTAAGTATCAATAAAAAAATCATTAAACAATTTCAAACTTCTAATAGGCATTTTACTAAAAAGATACAAAGCTTGAAATAGTATCTAATACTTTTTAAAATATCTGAAGGAGACATATAGTTTCTACTTCTGCTCAGCTAATTACATATTCACAATCTTTTGTGTTAATTTTTAAACACAAGTTCACTAACTAACTGACATGCATGTTTTAGGACTGTGGGAGAAAATAAAGGTATCCAAGGAGAACCCACACACGGGCACTGAGAAAACGACTCCACTCTGAGGCGGCAGTGCCCCCAACTCCCAGACGGCAAACATGATACAAACGTAATTTATATGCATTAAGATTAAATGTGACCTATTTTATGTGGTTTTAAACAGTCCATTTTGACATGGTATTAAATTTTATGAATAAGGTTCAGGCATTCATCGATATCAACCGCAACTTTAAATTTTTCTTGTGGGTGGCAACTTTTATGAGTCATTAACCGAAACACTTATCACTTTGCAGCATTATAATAAAATATTCTGAATCAGCCCAGTAACTTGGATTTTATATGGATGAAAATATCTATAAGGTTAGAACAGAATCCTTCATAGATTTTAACAACTGTTTCCAACGTTGATTGGGTTTTATATGACAGTAAAAAACTATTTTCTGTGGATTTTCTGCCTTCATCTGCTTTAATAGCAGCTCTTCAAAGTCAACCAGTCTGAACCACTGACAAAGCAGTTCAGTCCCTGCAGATAAAGATGTTAACCTTTCATCTGCAGACCAGCCACCCAGTTGTTGTCATGCTGATTACTTTAAGGCTCTTATGGATCTTTTAAGTACATAATCAATGAAAGCCTGAGATGGGTTTTTGATCATATGCTTGTAAATGATAGCAGCAACCTCTTTAAAAACTGGAATTATTTTCATGACAGATTTTAGGAGAGATTGTTGCACTTAAAATCATCAGATTTCTGCCGTAGTTTGTCTTTATTTGGTTTGATGCAACTGTTAGCAACATTTTAAGTTGGAAATGGCAACCGAATTCTATACATGAAAAAACAATAAACTGTAATGCATTATTTAACGATGTTCAATTTATTCTGAGCTGCTCCTGTAAAAAAACACTTCCTATGCTCCATAATGGCAGCTATGACAGGCCTTCCTCTGTTCCTGACGAGCAGTTTTTAAATGCATACTAAAGACATCGAAGCTTAGGGGATGCTGACTGTTCATGCATAGTAATGAGTCTTTGTCTTTACAGTATGCGCGCATGCTTGTGTGTGAAAATGGCCATGGATGTATCCGAGAACGAGGGTGCAAATTGTTTCCTTCACAGTTCATTGAGCATGTGAATTGCCTGTAGAGGGAGGTGTTGAGAGCAAAATGAGAAAATGACAAATCAAAAGAACAAACCGAGAGGAGAGGAGGGAGACGGAGATGTGCTGGACATCTTTTATTCCACATGACATAACATTTTGTTCAATGCATGCTAAAGCAAAAAAAGGAATATTTATAAGTCATCCGTTTTGAATAAAGCTATGTGTACTCCGAGATTGGAAAAGCAAATAAATCTAATCGCATGTTTGTCAGAGGGTGTCTGTTTCAAAACATGTCATGACTTTGAAGGCGTGTGTAATTTCACCTTCAATGGCAAGCTGCTTAATTTAATCAAACCAAAAAAAAAAGAAAAGAAAATGAGACTACCTGCTTTTGTGCAAAGCCGTATGGCCCTGTAGGATCTTCAGTGGCAACCAGGGACAAGTATAAATCACCGGCAGGGGGTAAGGGCATGTGGAAAGACTGGAGCTATCAGATGGAAGGGAAATCTAAAGACAAATGACAGTGGCACTGGAGGACAAATCAACCCCGGAGCTGCTGCAGCTGGGTCTGCAACAGCCACTGAGAGGCTAGCTGGGTTAGGCTGGAGGACATTATTGACTGATTGAGTCTGGCACGTATTGAGCAGCTATCAGCTCCATCTGTGAGGGACAGTATTAAGATTCAGGCTCGGCTTGTTTAATTAATCTGTTCCCTGATGTTACTGTGAATTCAACCAGCACACATGTTTTGTTCTAAACATGCTGCATTCACATCACAGATGATAATCAGACTGGCAAAATAAGAAAATATTGTAAATCTTAAGCTCCACCCTTCGGCACTCAAAGGATATTTTTCAATTGGATTCTTTAATTACTTTAATCCACCCAGACTTGCTTTGTACAGCTCTGTTGTTGTTTATGCTTTTGCTAAATACGATGGCTATTGCTACATCTATGCATATGTTTCCCCCCTTATGCAATGTGGTGATAGATTATCAGAAAACCCTGATTAATATGTTGAATTTTAAAAAAGTCAAACAAAAACGTCATTCCAGAATAACCAAAAGTCTTGTAGCACATTTGGCTGAGTCTCATATGAATGAATGCACATTGTTTTACATAGTTAGCCAAATTACAGGAAAGTAACTAAGTTCACTTTCTGTAGAAGCTATGAAAATTCTGTATTTTTTACTATGTGGTTGCACTACAGCAGTAAAGTAATCAAAATATGATTAATTCCTGTGCCATGTCCATCTTGACTGACAGAAGCAGTAAAATTAAAATGATTTCACTTGTTGAGATGGGCACATTTAAGTTGTTCCCCCCTTTAGGGGATGCAGCAAGTAATTAACTTTTGAGGCTTAAAACTAATCCAGAAAGCCCAAACCAAACTATTTGAAGCCTCATCCAAGATATTAATTGATTAAGTCCAAATTTAAGATAATTCATGCATAGTGCATGCTAAAGCATGAATCTCTACTGAACAAAGTTTTAATCAAGATTACATTCTTAATATATATATAAGTCAGGTTCGTCAGGGGAAGGAGGCAAACGTGGGAGTGATGGTGAGGGCTGCTTTGTGCAGCCAAAAATCTTAACTGGAGGTTTGATGCAGTCCATGCGCAGGCATCATGTCCAGTCTATGGCCAAAACCTGTCCCAGAGGTACCAATGTAATCAAATCTAAAGGTACTGGTCTGTGCTGTAGACCAGCTCAGGTCACCTGAGAGATTTGGACCACCTCCAATAATCTCATTTATTAATTTATTGTCTGTGTTCGTGATAACCAAAAATGGAGTCAAATCAAATCCACACTCACATCACCACATCATCTAATTCAGAGGGTAATTGCACTTTGGATCCCGTAACTTTATCAGGACGGTGGCTCAGAAGCAAATCCATCAGGCTTTTTTCTGGATGAAATTGGACTGATTGATTTATGTATGTCAAGTGAAGGGCAAAGAGACGGACACAAAGAAACTACAGAGTGTGAGAGTGGGTCAGGGGAGGGGAGGGGAGTCACAGATGTATGGAGAAGCATGGACCCCTGATGGGGGAAGGAGAGTATTGAATCAGACAGAGACAAATGGAGTGTGAGGGACAGAGAGAAAGAAATTTAGACATATGCCTGCTGACCTCAACTCTTTTTTGCAACCAATCAATACGGGGAAATGTACATGGGGGGGAGGTTCTATGTGTGCCGCTCCCAATAAACATCAGAACAACAGTGACATTACTTCAGTCCAGCCCGGCTCCACCCTGGCCCTCAAACCTTTGGCCATGTCTCTATTTAATTTTAGAGCCTGTAATCTTATCAAAGACTGAGAGGTCTGGAACACTTAGATTGTCCTCGCCATTGAGTTCAGTAAGGCCAGCGGGGAACCATCAAATATCAACACTAAAAAGTGCTTGAAATAATTCCAACAAAAAATGTAGTTGTATTGATGATCTTTGTTTCCATCTTCTTAAATAGTCAAAAAAATACAATACAAGCCGACACGAAATGAACATCTGCTTATTGTCAGTGTTATTTTCTACTCCTGTTACCATGACATGTCAATAGCTGCGAACCGAAGTCCAAACAGCTCATCTTCTCAGCACCAAAATCCACAAAGTTTTTACTAATCAGTTAAAATGTGTCATACTCTGCCAAGGAATCACCCCCCATGAGCTTTATTATCGGTTCCTCCTGCTGTTAGACGGATACCAAAAAGAATCGATGCGCATTTTCAGCCAATTAGAAGAAGCCTCAGCATGGTATATTTCAAGTACACAGCGCTGAAAGGCCAACGTTCAATTATACAGATTTCCTGAAATGACAGGCTGGGAGTCAAGATGCCAACTCTGCAGGAAAAAGAAGAAACTTGGCCCTGTGAAGGCAGGATGGATGAGATAAGGTGCTGCTCGATACTCACAGCAGTTTCACCTGAGAAGATAAAAAGCATGGAGGCAAAAAATTGAAGCCGATTCATCCACTTGGCCCCAACTGTTCAATTTGCAGAGGCAAGCGCCATGATTTTTTTTTCAGGGATCAAACAGTAGTCTTTACCTTGTTTTCCAAATGGACTTCAACAACCTGGATGAACGGCAAAATCA